CACAGTCATTACACGACTATATTATATTTGGAGAGAACATTACTATTTGATGTGGTGATCTTGTAGTTTAATTGGAAAATCAAAACCTTCCTTTTGTGTTGGTTTGAGACGGTCTTACTGTTTTCTTTTCAAAGTGAACGGATAAATATTTCCAGCAAGATGGAAAGTTGGCCGTCATAGTTCTGGAGATTAATTGTTTTCCTCTATCGTTTTATCATAGTTTAATACAACCCATATTTTCCGGTTCCGTTGGGTATGTAATCCAAATAAATATACAATATTCCAAAAAATAAGCCTGTGCCTGGTAAAGCAACTAAATAGACAATAACAAGACCATATAAATTAAACTAAAGTTCAACTGAAGAAAAAAAAAAAGTAAAAAAGTAGGAATTAATTTAGAAAATGAATTTGTCGAGGAGTTGTCCACTGACCTGATCGGACGCCATTTCTAAAAGCTCCTCGTTTTCTAACATAATCCTACTGATATCAGCCAATCTGAGCACAATCCAACCACCACACTTACCTAGCCAGAATCAGAGGGGCAAGAGGAACCGATGAATGCCTTTCTTTCAGGCACCAAAATCATCATGGAGGAAGCCCAGGCCTGGAGCCTACCGCACACTCCAAAGCCTGGAAGATATCCTGGGAGGCATTGCCGCAAACAAAGCCGAGATCCCACAATCCCAGTTACCACCAGCCTCACCAGCATCAATGCCAGGCAAGGGCCAGCGCTCTCAGAAGCCCCAAACCCCGGCGCAGGGATGGGACATAGGGGCCATGAGGCAAAGACCCGCTCAACCTCGACCTACTCCCACAGAAGACCTGCATGTCAGGGAAACAGGCACAGCAACAGGCCATGACAGGTCTGAAGGGCTCACAAACCTCACCAATTCCTCAAGCTGAGCTGCGAGAGCTGTCTGACGATTCATCACCCACCACTAAGCGGGACTTAAAACTCCTACTGGCGGACATCCACAAACTACTGGCGGCAGAAACGGAGGTCCAGACGGTCACTGAGAGAGTTTGAGTTACTGAGGAAGAGGTGATGGAAGTACACAACCACTTAACCAACATGGATAACTCCATACTAGCACTCCAAACCCAAAACCAAACCCTGTCACTCAGACTCACAACACTCGAAGACCGTCAGAGACGCATGCATATCAAGATAAGGGGCATTCCCCCAGCGATCACCGCAGAAGAGCTGGTGCACTACATTAGAAGAATGCTGGATACTATCCTGCCTCACACTGTGGCCAAAAAAATGAATATAGACAGTGTATACCGTCTCCCAAGCCCTACTCACCACACAACATCATTAGTGCGGGACATCATCCTAAGATGCATCACCCTGCCGGACAAACTCTAAATTATGTCGGCACTGAAGGACAAGGCACCGCTCACATTTGAGAACTTAACTCTCATTCTACCAGGACCTTACGAGGGCCACCCTCTTGATGCGTAAGAGCTTTGGCCCGGGTTATGACCCAGCTGAGAACCGCTGGAATTGCCTACCTATGGGGAACAAATGGCCCCTTAGCAGTGACTCAAAACGGAATTGTGCATACACTACCAAATATGGGAGAAGCTCAGCTTTTTCTGGGAGCTTTGGGACTGCTGCACCCGAACGCACCTTCAACCTCCAGTGCACCGGCGAACTCCTGGGACCCCGCTTCCATAACACCCTTTATCCTGAGAGCGATTAACTCACAGCCAGTAACACCATGACTGCACAGAGAACATTCCCGAGGGACTCCTCCTGAGAAAATCCCTGATTTTGTTTGTGTTCATAGATGGTTTAATTTAGTAGTTTGTATTTTTGCTCACAAATGGCGAAACCTCACAGTGCCCTCATAGGCAGGAGCCCTGCACATGCAAGGGCTGATTAGGCTGACACATACATAAGCTGACACCAGATGGTGTACCACCTCCCACCTCCCCACCCCCCCAGGGGCACACAGCGTGCATGCATATCCTCCTAATCCACCTGCACAATATCTAGTGCACACATACTCACACTAATCATAATATGCACCCACCTCCTTAGCCTGCTGCCAGAATGATATTTTCTATATGACACCGTACCTGTAGTCCACCCCTCCGCATATATACTTGAGCCAACTTAGGGCACAAGTCATCGGTACCACGCATAGGGACCATGACCAGCTTAAAACCTAAACTATAGCTCGTACCCGAGCTAACTCATTCCCAATGTCCCCAACCAATTGTAAATTCTTGGACCATAAAAAAAATTAATGCTAGTAATCACTGCTGCACTGCACATTCTCAGAGTTTTGTTTTACTCACTATTTTTGCTAAACAGTTAAGCCTTTATCATATGCCGAATGCTCATGAGAATGTTATTCAATCAAAGTATCTTGAAAAAAAGAGTTTAAAAAAAAAGAAAATGAATTTGTCATTTCTGGAAGCAAAACTATAATCACAACAAAGATTGCTTTCAATAATGTTATCAAAGAAGATCAAAATATCTAAAAGTGTTAAAGGGCATTTCTCATGCCCCAAACAACCTATGCTTATAAGATTGAACATACGATTTTATCCATACATTCTGTCAGCCGTTTGCTAGCAAATATATAGATTAGGAGAAACAAATACCAAAAAAAATTGTTTTTCTCCCAGCAGTCATTCGATGCCTCGGAGTGCCGTGGCATTTATTGACAAGGGAGCGCAGAAAAGACTACCCACAGCACCAGCTAGAGAGTATAGGGAATGGGATGGAGTAACATGACTTCACTCTGTTTCAACGCCGGCACACTTGCAACAAAGCCAGCTTGCCAAGCCTGGGGATGCATCCTAGCAGGGCAAAAAAAAAAATCTCTCCCCTTGTCTTGTGCCTTCCTTAACACACATCTTCAACTGCTCTCTCTCTTCTGGCATTGTCCCTGCTGACCTTAAACATGCCACTGTAGTACCTATTCTGAAAAAAACATCTCTTGACCCGTCCTCCCCCTCTATCGTCCCATATCCCTGCTCCCTTTTTCCTCAAAGCTTCTGGAAAGACTTGTCTTTGCCCGTGTGTCTCACTTCCTCAATTCCAACTCTCTCCTTGACCCTCTTCAATCTGGCTTCTTCCCCCTCTCCACTCTACTGAGACTGCTCTTATCAAAGTTACTAACGACCTAATTGCAGCTAAATCCAAAGGCCACAACTCCATACTAATTCTTCTTGACCTTTCTGCTGCCTTTGACACCGTTGATCATGCTCTCCTTCTTCAAAGTCTTCAACTCTGATTCTGTCCTGTCTGGGTTTTCCTCTTATCTCTCCAAACACTCATTCAGTGTCTCCTTTTCTAATGACACCTCCTCTCCTCATCCTGTCTTGGTTGGAGTCCCCCAAGGCTCTGTCCTTGGTTCCCTTCTATTTTCTCTTTATACTTGGCAAACTTATTACCTCATTTGGATTCCACTACCACCTGTAGGCTGATGACACCCAGATATATCTCTCCTCCCCAGACCTCTCCCTTGCCATCCTGCAATGTGTCACTGCTTGCCTATCTTCCATCTCTGACTGGATGTCCTCCCACTTTCTGAAACTCAAGCTCTCTAAAACTGAGCTCCTTGTCTTTCCTCCTCCTAATACTGATCCTCCTCTTTCGCTCTCCCTTTAACTTAGTGGTATCCACTTAAGTCCATCCTTGCAAGCGCGCTGTCTTGGTGTCATACTTGACTCTGGCCTCACCTTTGAGCCTCACATCCAGTATGTTGCCAAATCCTGTAGATTCCATCTTAAAAACATAGCCTGCATCCGCCCCTTTCTTACGCAAGACGCTTCCAAGGAGCATGTCCATGCTCTAGTAATTTCCAGCATGAATTATTGTAACCCTCTCCTAATTGGTCTTCCCAAAAGCCATATTGACCCTCTACAGTCTATAATGAATGCTGCCTCCAGACTGATTTTCCTCTCTTGTCGGTCCTCTCACACCTCATCCCTCTGTCAACCCTTACATTGGCTTCCTGTATCATATAGGAGTCAATTCAAAGTGCTAACCCATACCTATAAAGCACTGAACAATTTTAGCCCCTCTTATATTTCATCACAGATCCATAGGTATGCCCCTTCTCGGTCTCTCCGCTCTGCCCGTGACCTTCTCCTGTCCGCTGCTTGCATCCGTACGACCAAATCACACTTGCAGGACTTCTCACGGGCAGCTCCCTTCCTATGGAATAGCCTGCCTACTGCCATCCGACTCTCCCCTAGTCTTGCATCTTTTAAGAAGTGCCTTAAAACCCATCTCTTTAGGAAAGCTTATGGCCTCCCAGAGTAACCTCTACCTTACATACCTGTCTCTTGATCTCTCCTAAAGGGCAGAACGCTACTCTCTGCTTCACTCCCACCTTATTTGATTGCTATTTCCTGTCCTAATGTGTTTTACATTTTTTCACCTCCTATAGACTGCAAGCTCGTTTAAGCAGGGTCCTCTTAAACCTATCATTCATGTAAGTTTTCTTGTAATTGTCCTATTTATAGTTAAATCCCACCTCTCATAATATTGTAAAGTGCTGCGGAATCTGTTGCCGCTATATAAATGGCAATAATAATAATAATAATAATTATGCAAAACCGGAATTCTGTTTCTGTACCTTCACTGTTTACTATAATTGCAACATCTGATTCCAATAATATGCCAGAAAAAATGTCTCATAACCTCAAGGATACCTAGGTAGCCTATGAGCAAAAGTGGGCTGACTATGGACCTCATAGAAGGAACAAGAGCTCCAGGGTGATCCTATGCCATATTTGTTTAAATTTATCTCACCCCTATGTCATCAATCGACTGTTTTCCAGGATACGCCTGACTTGAAATATATCGCTGGTTCACCTTGTTTTGTTGACTGAATAAAGGCACGGATAGCCATGGTTACCTGTTTGTTTCATTTCGCAGATACCGGAGATGGGGTCCATAAACAGTGGTTCACCAACTGAGCCTCTCTCTCTCTTCTTCCACATTTTAAATGTACTGTTATCCAGTTATAGTCTGACAATTTTGTTTGGGTAGAGCCACTTTGCTTTATTCACAACGTTTAATGCCAATTTTCAAGTCAGTAAGACTATTCACTTGTAGGTAAAATACTCTTTGAATCATTTTGTGGTTTTTTTTCGTGACACAATAGGTTTCATCTATAGGAACATGAAATAATCTACACGAGAACTAACACAAATTCCAACACGTGAGGATTTATTTATAATTTGTGAAGTAAAAACAAATCTAGAACCTTCCGCAAACCATGAAGGGATCTTCTTACTCCTGATCTTTCTCCTCACCGTGGGTGATAATGTAACATAAATTCTTATAATCGAGGTTGCCAGCCACATCTGGAGGGAAGGCATTAAACATCTGGCTGATCTACAAAACAAGACATAAAAAAAGCTTGCATCCGAATTCAATAAAGTAAAATTGTGTTAATTTTTTTCATATAATTTTGATATATTTCATGTTGTGCAATGCAATGTGGTGCACATGTGTAGCAATGCTATTGCAAAAATTACATCGTTAATCCCTATCTGGCAGCAGGTTAGTGACCAAGATATCTATTTTGTGATCTATTAATGAGAACAACAAGTGCATTCCCTAAAATGTATCTACTCACAGAAATCTGTATTTGGCTTTATCATGTTACTGTGTTGCCCCAACTAGTGCTTATAATCAGATATTCTATTCTTAAAGGAAACCTAGGACCATGCCAGTTTGCCTTTAAAGGAGCTATTTAAGCACCATGAATTTCCACAAACTGCTGTAGTGGTAATGGTGCCAAGAGTGTCCTGGCGGTGTTCCATTTTAAGATGTCAGAATGTTTTAGTATAGTTTTAGAACTTAGCAGGGTCCCACTGGGTAGCCTGCATTGCATCCGGTTTACTTCAGCTGGAGAAGCCGAATGTTACAGTTTAAAGTAAAGCAGTACTGCAGTCATTGGCTTAGAACAACAGCTACGCGTTCTCAGCCAATAAGTGTGGTTCTTTATCTGCTCGATTTGCTCTATGGAACCTTTTAGCATGTCATGAAGGAGAAGACCAGATGCAGTGCACTGGCACTTAGGGCACTCCTAGCACCACTACAGTAGGCTGGCATATTTAAAATATGGAGTAAAAAATTAGGAGAATGCTGAGGAATATCAGGATGGTTTGGTTATATTTAGTTTTGTACAAATTCAGTTGAATTTGAGTTTTATTTTTTTTATTACATTTTTTTTAATCCGACATAAAAAAACATAAATATAGTGAATTATATTGCAATCAAACTAATCAAATTGCTCTAAATTGTAAAATACTGATTTGCTGTTGAAAGTTAAACCACTGGTTATTCGCGGGGTTTTTTCTGAAATACCATTCAGCCATGTTGTTAGAGTAAAACATTTTTTTAAATAGCTACTTTTGATTATTCATTTTTAATTTAAAAAGGTGGACCATAATATTCAACCATTTTACTTAATTTGGTAAACTTTAGCGTTAATATGGTGACAGGTTGAAATAACTAATTTATTCCAACAAAGCAATAGTATTCATGTATTCCGACTGTCCCAGAAAACGAAGAAAGCATATTTACCTCTTCTTGATTAAATCTGTCTGCTTGAGTCGATAGCATTTCTCTGATACTGTTGAACAAACATATATTCATATATAAGTAAAGAAATATACAGTGGGTTTACATTCTGATTAACAAGTTTAATTATTATTATTATTTATATAGCGCCAACAGATTCCGCAGCGCTTTACAATGGGTGGACGAACAGACATGTAGTTGTAACCAGACAAGTTGGACCCACAGGAACAGAGGGGTTGAGGGTCCGGCTCAATGAGCTTATAGGCTAGAGGGAGTGGGGTAAAGTGACACCTAATTAGCAATGATGATGATGATGATGATACGTGTATGTATGTATCTATGTTTTAGTGTCAGTGAATGGGTATATGGTGCAAGAGTGTGTGCATGGGTGAAGGTTGTCATGTGTGTATGCGCAAATGTATGAGGTGTCCGTCTGTTGAATAAGTGGAAGATAGGACGTGGGAGGCAGCAGTGATTTACACATAAAGGATGAGAATATTTAAGAATATACTGATTACATGTACACACACACACGCACAGTACATAAACATAATATCTAGATTACATTTCTTCTTTATTTTTGCAGCCTATAACTGAACAGATCGGTTCTTTATAAGCCTCATGTGGACACATGAACATTAAGAATCTCTTACTAACAGCGAACAGCTTTGAAACATGGTTTTTAAGTGAGTGAAACCAATGACAGATAAAGTACTGTTTGAGCTATTGAAGTAATACAATAAAAAATATATAAACTTACTAATCTGCTTTTATATGGCCTTTTGCATCTGGGTCAAAAATCTTGAAAGCATTCAGAATAGTTTCTTCTGGGTCGGTGCCTAGAGTACACACATTTTAATTCATAAAACATCTGTATTCATTTTCAGGATTTCAAATACAACGTAAACCAATAGCATATTTAACCAATAGTCTGTCGTCGGGATTGTATTAGTTGTGGTGTGTGCATCTTGCTTCATCTATAAATTGCTAGTTTGAAGAAAACAGATATTGAAAGATGACGTGATTCAATAAGACATGTATCATCCTTAATATTCTACCCCTTCCCTAGCCTTGTTAAGTATTCCACAGCTGGAATAAGGAATAATGCATATCAATCAACATGGTAGCATTAACCAGTAAGCTAGCTCCTCCCTTTAAACCAACGTATAAAGTGTGCACAGTGCTATAAATACCCACCAAACATAGTGGTATACAGTGTAAGGTAAAATAAGGTTGTGCTTTTGGAAACCTTATTATTGGTGAAAAGTATTCACTTTATTTCACCATTTGTTAATAATTTTTGGTTTTCCTTGCCCTTTTAAATATTGTTTTTAATATTGATTTATTGATTATTGTCTTATGTGTTGGAGACTCCTCTTTTATCCAGAGCCCATGAAGAGGGTACCTTGGAGTCTGCTGGTCGGCAATCAAATGGTATTCGATCTCAGGGAACATCCTGGATACAAAGTGTCAGTTAAAGGGACTCTCCAGTGCCAGGATAACATATTCATTTCCTGGCACTGCAGGTTACTGAAGTGCCCCTCTCCCTCCCACCCCCCATCCCATGTTGCTGAAGGTTAAAACCCCTTCAGTGACTTACCTGAATCCAGCATTGATGTCCCTCGGCGCTGGGTCAGGCTCCGCCTACTCTTCTCCCCCGCCGACGTCAGCCGGCCGGGGAGACCTAATGCGCATGTGCAGCAATGGCCGCGCGCACATTAGTCCTTCAATGCTTTCCTATGGGGATTCCGGTGACGCTGGAGGTCCTCATGCATAGCGCGAAGACATCCAGCGTCATTTAAACAATTTTCGTGTTTTAAGAAAACAAAAGTCCCTCTAGTGGCTATCTGATAGACAGCCACTAGAGGAGTTGTTAACCCTGCAAGGTAAATAGTGCAGTTTATAAAAACTGCACTAATTACACTTGCAGGGTTAAGGGTGATGGGAGTTGGCACCCAGACCACTCCAATGGGCAGAAGTGGTCTGGGTGCCTGGAGTGTCCCTTTAAGAAATAGGTTCAAGATAACAAGACCAATAAAGCATTAATACTAATAGAGCTATCAATTGCCATATAAAACCTAGGATACCTAGTTGATTACCAATGATCTCTTAAATGTGACTTATTTGTTACATGGAAACCCGAAAGTAAGTAACAAGAATTTTCTGAAATAACAGAAACAGCCATAATTATACTAATCAGTAATTAATACTACTGATGCAGATACCTGAGCTGGGAAAAGTAATCTAAGCAGCCAGAGGTAAACTACTTGCAGGCTCATGTTTAACCAGCAAATGGGGATTTGAACAACAGACAGCCTAATCTGCTCAGAATAGAGGCTTTGTATGCACCCCATATGCTACTTGTCATCACCATAGAAAGATAGTTTATATCAGACTTTATTGAATAGCTTCAGGGTTAAAGTGAGAATTCAAAGTACATTACAATTTAGATAAAATGCAGAAACATTTTCTAAGTCAATTGAGATACTTTGGCCTAAAATGTTACATTTACTTTGAATTCTTACTTTAGTGACTAGCTCTGATTATGTGAGTGCTATTTACTGGTTCTAAAGAGAAAAGAGGCCAAACCTGACCGAGCCTACAAAATATTGGTATGGAAAGCGCCAAATAAAATTGTGTTCTGCTAAAGCAAGCTTTTCCCTAACTGCGGTTGAAGGACATGATAGCGTTCTATGTGCTTTCTAACGTGTCAACAAATTGATAGAGCAGCTTAGAGCCTTATTCCTTTTTAGGCTGATCAGAGACTAGCAGGGTTTTTTGTTTTTTTTTACTAAATGGAGAATTCAAAGTGGATTTCAAATTTAAGCCAAACTCTAAAAACATATCTAAGTCAGCTATGCTTTCAGTTTGGATACTTCGGACTTAAATCAGAAATTCACCTGAATTCTCACTTTTGTCTACAACTCTGTCAGGAGGCAGCAAGCAGAAGCTGTAGGAAGGTATAGAAATAAGAGGGTTTTTTATTAGAATCGGTCTTATATTAATTTCCCATTCAATAGAACAATTCTTGACATCTTATTTGGATTTTTTATGATTTTTTTTTTTTTTTTATCACAGAAAAAGTTATTTTGATCCATTATCTGAGGAATAAAAAAATTAATGTAAAATTCGACAAAACAAAGCAAAATGTGACTAAGTTTCTTGACAAAAGTAAATTATCTGCACATCACTATTAAAAACAGGATTTCTGAACTGTAGTAATGTACATAAAAGATAAAAACAGCATAATAGCGATCAGGAGCAATAGAATGTTACAATCTGTGTAAATAATGTAGACATAAAATATACAATTTAAAAAAAAAAGTCTATGCAGATGAAAAATAAGAAGCTCTTAGAGCTAATATATATTGCTAGCATACCCACAATAATTCTGATACAATTCATTTGTCAACGGAACAGTTTACAGAAAGCCATTTCTTATCTAGCTTCCCATTCTCCCCAGCCTGACAGTTCCAGTGTCATTATTAATTACATGAATTAATCTTGATTAAGATCACTGTACAAAACATGGTCATATGACAGTCCAGAGAAGAGCTTCAATAAGCAGTCGGGCCATTAGACTAATTTAGCATCACATGCAAAATGTAATATAACATGAGCTAAGCTTAACATTACTTTACAAGTATGTCATTAGAACTACTGGACTTCATTTGTAATGACAAGCAAATTATAATTGAACTGACATAAATGCAGTGTCATAGAAACATAAACCACCAGAGGACAAGTAGAATGAATTCAAAAGTCAGTCTATCGCAAAACAAAATTGAACTTTTTTATTTTCTGCATGGGGAGAATTTTGTTTAGGATTTGTTTCGTATATTCAAATTATACATTTGTACTTGTTTGTTTGACTGGTTATATGCACTCTCAAAAAACTACTGCTTGATATCATCTTGGTAATGAGTCTGCGGAATTCTTCTTCAGAGGTACATGGTCAAAAAGGAAAAAAAGAAGATGAATGGCAAACATCTCTTCTGACATTTGAACAAAGATTAGCTGACAAGTTATTCTCTATAGTATAAAATACCGACTTGATCCCACCTAAAAATTACACAACATTAAAACCACTAATAGGTGAATTGAATAACATTTATTATATTGTTACAATGGCACCTGAGGTGGGATATATTAGGCAACAAGTGAGCAGCCAGTTCTTGAATTGCATTTGTTGGAAGCAGGAAAAATGATTAAGTGAGAAGATCTGTGTGACTTTGACAAGAAATGGTGATGGCTAAACGACTCGGTCAGAGCCTCTTGTGGAGTGTTCCTGGTATGCAGTGATTAGTACCTACCAAAAGTGGTGCTAGGAAGGAAAACCGGTGAACCGGCATCAATTTCAAAGGCACATTGATGCATGTGGGGAGCAAAGGCTAGCCTATCTGGTCTGATCACACAGAAGAGCTACTGTAGCTCAAAGTGCTGAAAAACTTCATGTTGGTCATGATAGAAATGTGTCAGAGCACACAAGCAGTTTGCTGTGTATGGGGCTGCAAAGCTGCAGACTGTCAGAGTGACCATGGTGACCCCTGTCCACCTCTGAAAGTGCCTTCAATGAGGGCGTGAGTGTTAGAACTGGACCATGGAACAATGGAAGAGGGTATTCTTGTTTTTTTTCTTTTAGATAGGTAGATGGCAAGAGATGGCAGCCGGATGCACTATGGGAGGACGACAGAGGCAGTATTATGCTCTGGGCAATTGTCTGCTGGGAAACCTTGAGTCTTGACATTCATATGGATGTTACTTTGACATGTACCACTTAGAGAATATTGCCGACTACATACACCACTTCATGGAATTGGTGCTCCTTGATGACAGTGCCTCTTTCAGCAGGCTACTGCAAAAATTGTTCATGAATATTTTGAGGAAATTACAGAGCTCAAGGTGTTGTCTTGGCCTCAAAATTCTCCAAATCACAATCCGATTGAGTATCTGTGGGATGTGTTGAAGCAACAAATCCGATCCATGGAAGCCCCACCTTAGTGCTAGATACCACAGGACACATTCAGAGGTCTTGTTGAGTCCATGCCTTGACACATCAGAGCTGTTGTGGCAGCACGAAGGGGACCTACATCATATTAGGCAAGTGGTTTTAATATTGTGGTTGATCAGTGTAGACAGCTTTAACTAACTTAAATAGCACTATTGATGCTAATTGGCTTTTAGCATCAAGGGGAACTATAACATTATGAAATTCTAGGAATCTGTTTAATTATCTCCTTTATCTAGGTTCTGAAAAATAAAAATAAATGCACAAATCCACTCTGCTGTATTTATCACTATCCAGGAAATGAGTGCCCTCATCACGACTCCCTACTAATTATTGTTATAAGCTCAGCCCTATTCTGCCAGTGAACATTGAGAGCTATATTCTATTACCAGAGTACATTTACCTCTACTTATTGAATAGTTTATATTCCTATAAGCTTCAATGCGGGAAATGCTATTTAATAACCAGAAGTTAAGGTTTTTTCCAGTAACAGAATCCATCCCAATATTTATATATTTAATGGAAAATAGAGCCTAACATGGAAAGAAATGGTGTAATCAATGGTGTAATTTCCAGTGACAGATCCCCTTTAAATAGTGTTCTTTTATAAACTTTTACATTTTTTTTTGTCAGTTGCAGATCCCTTTAAGAATTCCCTCGTGGTCTCTCGGCTTTTGTCAGTGATTTAGAAGGCCACAATGCTCCCCCATGTACCACCAGAGATCCTGCTCTCAAGCATGCCTCCACTGGACAATCGGTTATTCTGCCCTAAATGGTCTCCACTTGACCACCATGGATTACCCCTTTTCTGACAAAAGTAAGAATTAGGGGGGCAAACTGTTTAAAAAACATCCCCCCCACACACCCAGACACTATATACACACACACACACACACACACACACACAACAATAAGCCATTCTCGGAACTCCTTAGAAAGACACATAATACTCAGATTCCTCCACACACAAAATTCAGTAACCACATGCAACACTCCATACAGTTCTCAGCCTCCTCCACACAAACAGCTCCCAAAACACACAACAGTCTCCCCCATACATATACAACACAGAGTCACCACACACAACAGCAGGGCTCCAGTAGAGGGCCCCAATCTGGCATCCTGCCCAGGACCAGCAGTCTTAATCAGGCTTTGATTTGATCTCTTATCTTCTAACAATGGTGTGCAGTGTTGCAAATTAAGGATCATTTTGTTCTGCCAGTTGCACTTTACACTGTTTTTGACCACAACGATTGTATCTATTAATTAAGATAGGTGCTTGAATCTAGCTTATACTCATGTTAAGTACACAGTACAGGAAACTCTACTTCATCTAACTTACAAAACAAATACTTGGATGATGCTGTCTTAAGTCCGTATTTAAAATCTCTTCATGCCAAATGACTGTCAAGTATTGCTCCTTGACATCTATTTGAAATAGCTGTTTGTCAGCCAATCAGCATCAAAAGTAAAGTAAGAAAGAAAAAAAAAAAATACTTGCTGGTCTCAGCTGTCAGAGGGCTCAGCTGTCAGTCCTAATGTCCCTCTTTTCTAGGAGCTCCATATTGTTGGTGAATCTTACTGTACAACAGTGCTCCACAGCAAGAAAACTCACAGTAATGTGTCTTTAACCACGGTATATGCCGTCATGCAGTGCAGGGTTTTAATGCCCGTTGATAGCTCAGACCGTCATGCAATAAAAGTACCCGCAGATTTAAATCCCAGCTGGTACCCGGGATCCCTAGATATCTTTCGTGAGCATTCCCTCTGTCTGCTGAGGCCAGAATTAGTCACGCCTGGGCTTACAGATGCGCTATGTGCAGCTCTCAAGTCACCACAGCTGACCAATCCCACTGAGCCGGGGTGACTGTGAGCCTGCGACCAACCTGAGAATTGCTAAAATCAGGGAACACAATATTTTGATGCATGCGGGTCCCCTCTGTCAGCTGGGGTCACAATTAGTTTGCTCTATACTGACACATGAGCTATGTGGTGGAGTGCTCAAAGTGAGCATTTAAATCCATTTATATCACTGATTGCGCTCAGCTGCAGCGATTTTAAGTCTGCCCCAAGATGAGGGAGACCCCAGGGTCTCAAAACACCCTGATGAGCACCTTCCATCATAGACATACAAATCCTCACTTAAATAAACATTAACTCACATGCATTCTGCCTTTCATACTACCACTACTTCCATGGCAACACTTACATGTTAAAGGTACTAGTGTCACAGTACAAGACATTCTAATTGCTCTAGGGATGCCTAGTAAAATATATAAAATATTGCATTAATCATGTCACTATAAACAAAGACAGTAAAGAACAATTGTTGTAAATAGTAAAGCTTAGTGGTAGCTTTCTCAAAATATCCCGATTTTCAATCAGGCAGCAATTAGAAGTTTCTTGCAGTTAAGGCAGCCTCACGTCTAAATATGTCAGTATATGAGCCCCCTTAATAGTGGACTATATACGTGGAGAACTCTGATGCAAAACAACATTATGCTGCAGTGGTTCCGGTGACTATAGTGTCCCTTTGATTCGCAATATTCTTGCGAGGTGAAACAGACAAAGAATTTTGTGAAAAACAATCAAATAAGGTGGGAGTGAAGCAGAGCTGGAGGAGATAGTAAAGTGCTGCCCTTTAGGAAAGAGCAAAGGACAGGTATGTGAGGTAGAGGTTACTCTGGGAGGCCATAAGCTTTCCTAAAGATCTATCTTTAGAATTATCTTTTAATTCTGTCAAATGTCTTTAACAATCTAGGCAAATATTCTAATAGGATGAAGAAAAGTGGAAACAATCCCTCTAATGTATATTTTTCAATGTAATTAAATAGCTATTCGCAGGAATTAATAACAATGGTATTCAAATACCTTATATGAAACAAGCTCTGCATGTACTTGCATTTTTTTGTAGTGTTTCTAGTGCTGGAACAGCGGTTGTCAAGAATCACTCTCATTGGCCATAAAAAGGCACTTTAATAGTTGATTAGAGTGTCTACAAGTCTTCCTATAGAAGACACAGTTAAAACCATTACATAAAGCTCCCCAGGTTATATGATAGCTATTTTCCAGGGTGAAACAGGGCAGGATGATAGCAAACTCCGGTGAGAAACAATTATGACCTGTTCAGGCACCATGGCCATCCGCCAATTTAACTTCCGGAGTGCTGTATATTCTAGGGTATCAAACAACACTACCTTTATCTACAGGCAATGTAAAACCAATCAACATACTTTCTTCCAACCCCTCCTCAGAAGGATGTTCTTTTAAAAATAGAAGACCTGCCAACATTAGCCAACCTTCGTTGGAACCTCACACCAGCGTTTTTTTTACTCTTTTGCAGACTTTATCTTCATATTCCTAAACTACCAGCCAGTTACATTGGGACTAGGTGTCCTTGCACCCTTGAAGGATATTGCTAAATATAACAAATATAGTTCTCTATATTTCTAAATGTGTTAAAACACCCCTAAAGGCCTGACAAGGGCTTTACTTCATATCTCAATGATCTCAAAGTGAAAACGTACTCGGCTCAGCCAACGAGAGATCAGTGTTAGCTGAGATTCTGACTTCACTTCACCCTACATGAAATCACTGTCATCTTATTATCTGCCCCCTTTCCCCTTAGCTTATAGTTTTTAATTATAATTTACATTGTATGCCATGCTGTTTAGTGCAATTCCCACATAAAAGGAATGTATATGAGTGTATGCAATTGTATGTATTTCTCTGTAGAATCCTACAAAGAGTGGTGTTCCTGAAGTATGATGTCATAGATATAGATGTGTATAGCAGGGCCGTAGGTAAACATTTATTGGGCCCCAAGATATTCCCATTTGTGAGTCTCACCCCTTTGTTAATCAATTACAAACTAATTTCATCTCACGATTATCACAACAAAATGTCTTTGCCTAACCTAAATCAAGATGGATTAAGCTGCTTTCTTTCAATCTCAGCCACACACATTAGATAATTCTCTGAGAAATATAGGTCACCGAAATGTCATCGGGAACTTATTGTTGATTTAGGACAATTGAAAGTTAAATTAAATGACATAAATAACTATTAAAGGGATACTATAGTCACCAAAACATCTTTAGCTTAATTAAGTAGTTTTTGTGTATAGATCATGCCTCTGAGGTCTCACTGCTCAATTCTCGGCCATTTAGGAGTTAAATCACTTTATTTCCGTTTATGCAGCCTTAGCCAAACCTCCCCTGGCTGTGACTGACACAGCCAGCATGAAAACAACATGGTTTCATTTTCAATCAGATTTAACTTACTTTAAAAGTTTTTGTCTAATGCTCTGTAAATTAAAGTGTAAACATTAGATGGCTCTTTACAGGAAGTGTCTAGGAAAGCTGTATAAGTCACATGAAGGGAGAAGTGATTAGGGCTGTATAAACAAAGTGATTTAACTCCTAGATGGCAGAGAATTGAGCAGTGAGATTGCAGGGACATGATCTATACACCACAACTGCTTCATTAAGCTAAAGTTGTTTTAGGGACTATAGTGTCCCTTTAACTAGAAGTTAACCAATGAAACTGCACAATATCTGTACGTGACTCGATTAAGAATTGATATACAATACCCCTTCTGCAGAATACTGTATCTCATCCCCAGCTCTTGCACTTAATTTAATTATTCTTGTGCAAACTTAGAATTAGAGCCCTATTTCGCTTTTAGTAGCCGATCAGCGCCCAATACATTAAAAGAGCCAATATGCATAAATTTAGGTTGCCTAGTGATTAACCCGCTAGAGATGGCAACCTTTCAAAATGTTTATTCTGCTAACTGCCATCCTCATCGTGCTGATCTGAATGCGATACTACCCTAAAAAATCATGGACTTTTTCTTGCATCTTTATATGATAGTTTAATATGCAGTCGTTGAAGCTAATGCATTTTTCTTGGTTTTCTTGTTCAGTAGTCAAGTGCACTACTTACGTTTCACTTGAACAGACTGTCAATAAAGGAAATAAGGATCTCCTGAAACACACTTAAGGGCAAAAAGATACATTATTGTACTTTGGAGATTGTGCTCTCTTTGCCTTTAAGGGATCACTGAGCGTCTCTCTTTTTCAATCAATATCTCTTTACACTTAGTTTTTTATTGTCAATCACGCTGCCAGTGGCAAGCATCAAGCCCTTCAAAAAGCTTCAGACGTACATGTAGCTATAGAATGTTCTACATTTGTCTCTCGCTATTTCTTTGGGCTTTTGTCTGAAACAATATCATGCATAACCCATCTTTTATTGATTAGTTGGTAAATAAAGTGGTCTAGTTGACGTGTATCAAATTTATTTTCTATAGAAGCTACAAATGCATCTTTCTGCCACTCAATAGAAAGCAAAATTGCCAAGTGGCGGATATTAAATAAATATAGCTAAGGAACCATGCATCTGACACAGCCATTCTAATTTAACAAGGCCGTTCTCATTTTTATTTATTTATTTTATGGGTAAGAAATAGGAGCATTGTGTCTGCTGGAAAACATAATCGTGAACACAGCTTTGATCTTAAATTTAGAAAACGTGGCAAAATATAAACAGAATGTGTAATCTGGCAGATTCAGGTTCATATTAAATTACTGGCAATGTGGGAAACTATGAGGTTGCTTAGAAGGGGGTACAAAAATAGGAGACTTCTTGGTGGTATATTTTGAGTAAGCAAGAATAAGTATATTTCTCTTCCCTGGTCTGCATATCCCAGGTCTCTTGGTCATTCACTATGCAAACCACTAGATTAAAAGGAGAAAGACGGGGGGGGGGGGCGTGGTTAGCTGAGCTACTGAGCGGCCGCACATTTACAGAGCTCCCGCTCCAGAGACAAAAATCTGACTTCTATAACACGAAAACGGATAAAACCTCGATACTTACAGCACTTGGGATACCCCCCAAAGAGAGATGGGAAAAAAATCATAGAAAACTGGCCCATACAGAGGCACAGATCCACCCAGATATCCGACTTTCCTTCAGCAGGCCTCCGCAACAGGCCCAACAAAATATGGCGCCTACAGAGCCACGATGCTATAGCGACTCTGAGCGGTCAATGGAAGACGAGACAGCCCATGCACCCCAGACACATGGCGGAGTATACCAGAGGTCGGAATCGGACTCCGACAAGTCCCCATCTACTAAAGGAGACATAAAAAATCTCCTGCGGTACTTGAGAGAGGTCTGGAAGTCGGACCTGGCGGGGGTGCAAGAGGAGATAGGAGGCCTGAACCGGCGCATGGGAGAGATCGAGACCAGGGAAGAGGAAAGGGGAAAGAGGATAGATGACAATGACACCCAAGTCAAAGCCTTCACCCAACAAGTACAACACCTTGCGCACGGTGACCTCACTAGAGGCAAGGCACCGTTGGAAGAATGTTAGAATCCGCGGTGGCCCAGAGTCAGTAGGCCAGAAAGCCTTACTCAGTTTTGGCCACGAAGTCCTACAAGCACTTGGAATCCAAGCAGACGGCGAGCGGCCACCACTGGTGTCGCCCTTCAGGGTCCAGAAGGCACCTCCCAGTACCACTGCATTGCCCCACCAGACGGGGTGGGCTGAGAACATTTACCATCGTTCTCTGCAGCCTGATCGACTCCTGTGGTCATTTCAATAATGCATTAGCCTAGCGTTCCACTTAAAGCATACGCACTATCAGCCCCAAGAGTGCCCTATCTAACATACTGGCACCCTAGCTCTAGGGAAATAGGCGTGTTTATACCATATAAGCCTCCCATTCAGAATGCCACCGGTCTGCCAGACAAATACCCTGGCACCTATTACTACCCAGAAATGCACGAGAATACTCCCTTCTAGGAGTATATGACTAGGGCACGAGACATGCTTAAGGTTAACCGGTTTAACACTGGGATGTGTGTGTTTTAGTGGTAAGACAGCTCTCACTACAGACACTAGAAAGATCCTGTGATAAACCAATGGATCTGCAGCTTACTCTTACACCAGGACACGACTATTGTGCACCTTAGGCAAACTCACAAAGCTCCCTCAATAAGCCGCCAAAGCTTGTATCCGCATCCCACATTCACCCTGCCATTGGACTGCATAGATTCATAGCCTGATGATATATACACTTCACATGAGGCTAATATACTCTACACTTACCTACGCCAGACAGACAACCAATCAGGACACTCACCCCCACCAGACAAATAGCCTGAACTAATTACCTAACTCGCCTACAACATATCCCCCCCCTACAAACATTGAACACTCTAAAACTACTATGGAAACACAGCTGCTCAAACAAAATTGCCTCTAACTTAAGCTATCATTGTGTTAAATCGTATAAGCATGTACAAGGTTCAATATCCAACCTGCCACACATTCAACTTATCAAAATGTGCAATGTTCCTAGATGCCTTACCAATGCTATAATAATTTGTCTACATGTTTGCCTGCACCAGCTATTGTGGCGGGGCAGGCATGCTTGTTCTCACTATGCAAAAATAAAAATAAAGAATTTAAAAGAGAAAGATCTCTTTCACTGAAGTCATAAAAAAAAATTACAAAATTATATATTATATATATATGCTCCCTAAAGCAAATATCACATGGTAAAAATGAGAGGGGGAGCGGAGATTTATGGATTTTCTGGGGTCAATTGCTTAATAATCCATTGATTTGTAAAAATGACTAGGCCCACATTCATGAAATTAAAGTGATTTAAAATTTCAAGACAAAATAGTGAAACTGAAAACATAGCTGTCTTTTATCCAGTTAATCTATTTTTGATGCAAAAAATGAAATTTAGTTTGAACTCCTGACAAATCACACTATTGTGACTATTTCTAATAGTGTTGTACCACCATTAATTCCATGCCTCCCAACTGCCCCAATTTTGGTGGGACAGTCACGATTTTGAGGTGCTGTCCCTCTTTCGCTCCCTGGTTTCCCTCATCTGGGGATACCAGGGAACTGTCCCTGGGCAGCACAGCGCAAGCACATCATTAGTCATGCTTGCACTGCGCAGTGGGCACTACAACCATGCAGGGAGCACTACAGCAGCTTTCCGTATGGTGTTACAGCCTTCTGAACAGCGCAAGAGCAACTAATTGTGAGCTAGCACTTCAGCAGTGCTCCCTGCATTGTCCTGCTAGCTGTGGGGTAGCCAGTCAGCCTGTTAGGTGGTGGTCCTGCCCCTTTTGGACAAGGCTGTGGTTTGCATCACTGCCGACAACCTCTGAGGACTCGGCCCTCCTGCCCCAATTTCCAGAGGAGCAATGTTGGAAGGTATGTAATTTATAGATGACAGTCATGCCAGAATGTCAGTTGCACACTGGAACTCATTGAAACTGGGGTCTGATTCTTGAAATGTTTCATAGAATGATCACAAAAAGGATCCTGTCAAATAATCAAAGCAGAATTGTACGTAAAGATCTATTATATTAGGTGCCATATTTGGATATATGTGCTATATTTGGATAAATATGATTTTTTAATATTTTAAATTTTTTTTAAATTTTCACTTTTTATCTCTAAAATGACTGCTGCGCGTAGGTCCATGTATCTTTCACAGCCTTCACCTTTAATGAAATTCAACTGTGATAGTCCTGAGAAATCATTGATCTGTAGAACAAAATTGCTATTCGTTTAACATTTATTATTCTTTATTTATATAAAAACCCTGCAGCGCTACATACATGTATGACAAAACCACATTTGACAGAAACACGCTGATAAAGGAGGTTAGCTTTGCCCACAAGCCTACAATTTAAATGTGAATGGGATTTGTGAAATGCAAGGTAGAAAAGAAGCACATCAAGGAATGGAACAGGGATTGAAGCCATTATGTGAATATGAGTGTTAGGGTCAGTAAATTAATGCACAAAAGATTTTTCTCTTTTTGTTATATTCAAAATCCAATAAAATATTAAACCGTAATAGTATAGACTTTGCCAAAATACACACATTAAAGAATTTAGCTGAAATAAAGTTCAGATTAGAAATATAAAACACATAAATGAAAGTACACCCAATCATAACAGAATCTAATAAATCATGAGAAAAGTATCTGTCAACGTATATGAATTGTATAAAATTGATTTAAAAAAAAGTTTAATAAATTATTTGCAAAAATTGTTATACAGAATTCCTTACTAAATTATTAATTATTTAACTCAAATTAAATAACTATTGAAATAATTTAGGATATTTAAAATTTAATGTGAAAGGTAAAAATTTGAGAAGTAAGGAAATAATATGCAAAACAGATAAATGTATCAAGAGTCAAATAGCACGTAGATTTTGTCAGCAAGATTAAAAAAAAAACAGCTACATTTTTGTCCCTTTCTCCTGTCTCGGTATCCCTGCCAGTTTTGTGTAATGTAAACCATGCTAACGATCAGTGTTAAATTGCTAAATATTATTTAACAACCTTGTTAGATTCCAAACAGAAATCACAAAACACTTGCTCTAACAAGGGTAAAAGATGAGTGGTTCTCTAACTTGAATAATGTTGTTGAATAATTTGGAAACAAGAATAAAGGAGGGAAAGTAAAGGAGGGAAAGCAACAAGAAAGTTATATCAACTGTTCAACGGTGGTACTGCATAAGTCCCTGGTTTTATATGGGATCTTGGCAGGGGGAAACATCAGCCTGCTTGGCGCAGCTTACTCCCAGTCATGTTACGGCGCCGGTAGGCGAGGTGTGCCGCGCCGTCCGCGGCGTGAACTCCCAAACCCTAGCCTAGTCTATAGTGGACAGGCTCCTTCTCGCGTCAGTGTTTGTGGGTCGAGTCCCAGCTTCTTCAGAATATTTTCCAGCCCCTGATAAGTTTCCGCTCGGTGAGTGGCACCTTAAGCTGTAATCAGGACTATATGGGGTAGACCCTATCAATATGGCATATCTTTTGTATGGAGCAATTGAAGTAACAGTCGCAGGGATCGTCTCCACAAGAGGGTAATTCTCATGAGATCCGGGGATAGGAGTAGCGTGGCATCTTCAAAGGTGAGTGGAGTCTTCTCTCTTACAACCACCTGAAGGAGGGCTTTGTCTTGAAAAGACCGAAAGCAGAGGATCAGGTCCGGAGTAGCAGAAGGAGGTGCCCCAGGCGGTTTGGAAATACAGAACATGCCGTCTAGTTTCACAGTCTTCGCGTGCTTTGGTGGTAAGTAGGCCGCAAAGAACAGCCTGATGAAGTGAGGGAAGTCTGGCAATCCCACAGATTCCGGCACTTCCCTAAGCTTCAGGTTATACCTGCGTCGTTGATCCTCCAAGGCATCAATCCTGCTATCAGCCCTTTGTTGGTGCTGGCTCAGGTCCTCAATGCTTTTCTCCATCGCTGCAAGCCGACTTTCGTGAGTGGCATGGTCAGCCTCCAGTTGTACCACTTTAGTTGTCGTGTTTTCCACAGCTGTCTTGAAGGAGGCCAGGTCGCCAGCGATGTTCACGCGGAGTTGGGCCAGCATCGCCCTGAGTTGGGCCGCTGTTACTGGATCCCGAGGAGGGTTTTTCTTTTTTCCAATGTGCGAGGCGCCCTCTGAGGAGTCATAAGCCATGTCTTCCAAGAAGAAGGAAGAGCCCTCGTCTATGAGCACCATATTGTCCCATGCAGCCCTCTGTGAGTTCCTGCATAAGTCATCGATATTCTGGCTTAACGGGCTCTTGTCAAGCTTGGGTTTCTTATTTTTACGACCCATGGTGTAGCCTCCAGCCAAGGCATGTCTCCAGCAGGATTAGGTAATTTCTTTCTCTCCAAAATCAGCCTTTTAGGGCAGCGCTATACAGAGCTCATGGAACATGTGACCGTCCAGGTTCCCAGCTAGCCGAGTCTCCAAAGGGGTTTTATCCTTTATTGGGCGTGAGAGAGGTGGGCACTGTAGGATTCTATGGTGCCAGGAGAACGGATTTGTTTTCCTGGCACTATAGAATCCCTTTAAGATTCAATCTGACTTAGCAGATATTTAAATTAAGAGTTTTTAAAAATGTCTCTCTCAATCGTAAGGCTTTATGGTATTCTCTGAAATAATTGGGTTCTCAGTGCGCACTTCAGTGCACAATCTGTAATTAGATTGTACTAACATGACAAAGCCCTTCTTCATAAGAAATATAATATGTTTGGAAAAATAATTAACTCCAGTTATAAAAAAAAGAAAAAAAGGTTTACTTCCTGCTACAAAACAAAAAACAGATCCTAATGCGTGATAATGTCTAACAACAAAAAGACAGAAAGAAAATTACTGTAAAATGTATGCTCATATAATAATATAGCTGTTATTGAAGGGCTTAGTTGGACAATTCCCTTTGTGATTATAAAATGTCTGCAAAACTTTACTGACGCCTCAATATCTCCAGGCTGATATGGTCTACATCATCTATTTGTTAAGATTACTGCAGTATATACAGGATTAGTATACACTCATTACTATATATACAGTAGACCCATTGTCTGTATGAAGAAATTTTCTCATAACAGCTAATGTGCGTACTGAACTTGAAGAGCATCATGGGAAATGTGCTTCATATACATCAGCAGTGCCTACATTTGCCATCATTGAGTGTTCATCGGAAGGTTGGTATTTCTGCTGAAACCGTTGCCTACAGATTATTTTATTTGCATTCCATTCCTCATTTCATTATTACCCTCCTTTCCTCTACTGCTGTATGAAAGGCAATTTAGGACAGTTGGGGTGACCATAATTGCTACCGAGCAGAAAAATAGCATTATTTTCTGCTCATAATGGTGCATTCCATTATCTAATTCTCTTTTCTAGTTCCCTTTTTCCTGAACAAGCTTTCAGATGTTTCTAGTGTAAATTCAGCACATCTACCAAGTAGGTGGATCCTGTACCTACACTTTAAATTTAAGAGGGCTACAGATACCATAAATCCAGGGACGGAATTCCCATTAGGCAGAGTAGATACCTGCCTATATGCATTGCTTTAAGTGCAAAAAAATGGTGCTATTTTGAGGTTAAATAGGTTGGTGGGAGAGAAAAGTACCATGAGGCTTGGCCAGTGTCCTCTGTAGTCCAGTCACATATATAAGACCTGCAAGAACAGTTATGGAGGATGTAAATCTCAGTGCTGTCACAGCTCCTCCTGTGTAGGACTCAAAGCTGGACAGGAAGTGGAAAGTATCACTTCCTATCTGCCCACTAGTAACCTAATCACACAGGAAATTCAGAGCGGGGGAAGCTCTCAGTTATGCACACTGCATAACCACTCCTGCAGTTCTAATATCATCAATCTGACTGGACTACAGACATATAGGAAGGTAAGCAGTTTGCAAATAAAAAATATATGGGTGGCCCTTGCACTAATCAAGAGAGGTGCATCAGATTCTAATGGAGTCCCTACCCTCCAAAAAATGTCAATACAAATTTAAAAAAATAAAGAATAGTGCACACTTCTACTATACTACTATTGAAAAACTGGAGAAAATGTTGCTTGAGGATGATATTATCTGCCCCAAAGGAGAACTACTGTATGGATTTTAACATACTCCCATGGAAACCCTGTTACATTAATAAACCATACACTAAAATAATGAATGAGGAGCTCAACCAACTAAAATAAAATGCACTTTATTATACAGATGCAAACAAAACGTGAAATACATATGTATAATTTCTTTTGAGCCTCATGGACGGCGTGATGTTGTGGAGCTTATTTTTTGGAGTCTATATATTGCTTATTTTTTCCCCTTTGGGGTTGTGTACATGGGCTGGAATGTCCCGCGCATGAGCCATTCTGGGCCCCTCATGCCTCCATAAATATAGCAAAATCTTACTGTATTCAAGCCTGAAGCTGTAACTCTACATGCTGTTAAACTCAGAAAAACAAGCAGTCTGTTGACATCATCAGAAGTGGTAGCCTGATCCAATCACAATGCTCATAGGATTGGCTAAGACTGACAAAGAGGCCGATCAGGGGCAGAGCCAGCATGATTCAAACACAGCCCTGGCCAATCAGCATATCCTCATAGAGATGAATTGAATCATGAATCTCTGTGAGGAAAGTTCAGTGTCTGCATGCAGAGGGAGGAGATACTGAATGTTTGGATGCATTTTAGGCAGCCATGACCCTAACCATAATAAACCATAAGCACAAAAAAGATTCTAAACAAAGTGTAAGTGTAATAACCCTATGTGAATACAATTGAACAATTACCAAAAAGATGACAAATAAATTAAAAATAACAAATAGGCAGTACACTAAGGGGCGGACTGACCACCCGGGCAGATCAGTCATGGACCGCGAGCCCGAGGCAGTCAGGGACCCGGCAGGCTGCACTAACATGCTCTGGCTGGGGAGATCAGATCACAGATCTCCCCAGCCAGAAACAAACAGAATTGTACATATTTCAGCGATAGGTTGCTCCTGCAACCTATCTCTCTCTGTTTCCCCCCTCTGCCTCCCCTCTACCCCCACCTTCTGAGACCTGGCAGTGATCCTTCTGCTCCTGGCTGTTCTCCTCCATGCAATGACTGCGGAGCTCCGTGTGAAGGGAAGAGGCGGGGCCGAAAGAGGGGAAGTTACCTCACTTCCTGCCCTGCCCTCTCCTGCAGAATCTGCTGAACTCTGGCAGACAGTAGGTAAGTAAATCTTATTTTATTAAGCTAATATCCCCCCTTACTCAGTCCAGCCCCAGTGCCCCTTTCACCCATGTCAGCTCCAGTGCCCCCCTTCATCCATACCAGCCCTTGTGCTCCCTTCACCCATCCGAGCCCCTGTGCCCCTTCACCCATCCCAGTACCTGTGCCCCGTTTACCCATCCCAGCCCCAGTGCTCACCATTTCTTATCCCAGCCTCTGTGCCCCCATTTTCCTATCCCAGCCCCTATGCCCCCTTTACCCATGTAAGCCCCTGTGCCCCCTTTATCCATCCCAGGCCCTGTGCCCCCTTCACCCATAACAGCACCTGTGCCCCACTTCACCCATCCCAGTCACTATGCCCCTTTATCCATCTGAGCTCCCTTTCATCCACCACAGCCCCTCTGCCCTCTCTATCCATCTGAGCCCCAATGCCCCCTTCACCCACCACAGCCCCTATGCCCACTTTACCATCCCTGACCCCACTGCCCCTTCACCCACTACAGCCCTATCACTGTCATTCATATCCCTCCCTGTACCCACCACAGCCTCTGTGCCTTCTTGCACACTCCTCAGCCTCTCTCTCTCCCTGTAAGCACCTCACCCCTATGCCTTCCTGCACCCACTACAGCCCTCATCACTCTCATCCCTATCCCTCCCTGCACACACTACAGCTGCTATCCCCCCACCATCCGTATGCCCCCCTGCACCTACTATAGCCCATATCCCCCCTCATGCACTGCAGCCACTATCCACACACATACTGCAGCCTCTGTATCTCCCCCACACAGTAGAGCCTCTAGTATCCATACAAAACACACACTACAGTCCCAGTATACCCCAGATGCCTACTATAGCCCCTATGCCCCACACACACACACACACAACAGCCCCTATCCACACACTCTCTGCAGCACAACCAGCCCTCTCCACTAACATACGACACTGCAAACAGCTCCATACACACACGCAAACCCACAAGGAACCTCAATGTATGCACATAATCCCACAAACAGCATTCCCACACATTCAATACCACATGCACCTCCCTACACACACACACACACACACACACACACACACACACAACAGGCATCCCCAGCATGGCAATACTGCATACAGCCTCCTTATACACACAAAAGCAATTATTACAATTACTTATATAGCACCAACATATTCTGCAGTGCAGTACAATAGGTAAAACAAGACAAACAATGAATTCTAACTCAACATGTTGACATACAGGAATACAAGCAGCATTCCACACAAGTAACCTCCAAACACGTGTTTGGAGGCTACATGTATGGTTGAACATGTGGGGGATGCTGCTCGTGATGTAAACAACAAACACAGAGGAAGGGATTAATTAGATTGGCTTTATTTCTTTATTTTAAAGGGGGGGGGAGGAACGTAAGGCAAGCTATTAAGGGGTACTCCACTCAAAAACAATGTTTTATTAAAACACTGTTTTTGGTTGGATTAACCTCTTAAAGTACATCTAGCCCTATTTGGGGGACATCATGACTCACACAGCCATGCTGCGTAGCGCGCACATTTATGTATGAGAGCGGCACAAAGACCTTGCACCAGGAGGGGAGCCCTTGATCTCCTATTGACCGAGGGCCCTGTAAGTTGTCAGTCCGCCCCTGAGTACACTAATATATACTCTTAATCTCTATCCAAGGATTCTCCGCTCACAAGGGAGTTAAAAAAAAAAAAACACCTTTTTCTGTAGTTAGCAAACTGAAAATCACTAAAATCACAAGGGCCAGGAAAGAACATTCCCTTGATATTGGCCTGCTGCTCGCATAAACGTGTGGACCTTAGATGGCAGACCTACTCCCTGATTCACCCAAGGCTTTACATCAGCTTCAGACGACAAGAACCAAGAGCCAGTAGACACACTGTCTCAACAGCGTAGTGGACAGGTCTTATCTCTGAGGCAATCCGAACCCCTGTTGTCCACAAAAACAGATCTTATGCCAATGATAACAGATCTAAAGACCTTCATCGCTTCCAAGATGGCAGTGTTAAAGAAAGACCTGAGCACACTATCTGGACAGATAACAACCACGAAGGAGGACATCCACGGCCTTGGTATTATACAGGATTTGGCTGCAGCCCAACTACAAGAAGTTACTAACATGTATGTACTGCTGAATGCTTAGGTTGGGCAACTAGAAAATAGCGCAAGACAATGTAACTTGAATGTTTGGGGGATCCCTGACACCATATATTTTGATGAATTGTCTCAGTTTACTAGGAGTTTATTCTCTGCTACTTTGACACCCAAGCAGACTAAGGGATTATCACTGGGAAAACTTTACCACCTACCTGGGTGACCTTACATCAAAACCTTTGAACCTAGAGATGTAACCCTGTGATTCAATGCACGTAATGATAAGAAGATCTTTTTAAAAGTGGTCCAAGGTCACACACCATACATCTTTAAACAGCAGTCATGGTGTTTTTTTCCACGATTTAAGTCGCCCAAAACTATAGTGGTGTTCATCTAAAAAAGGGGTTGCCTCACAACTATGAGCTGCTGCTATTCCATTCAAATGGGTTCCTCACGGGTCCTTGTAGTCAAAAGAGGTGGCTACTGGTCCCTTCACAATAGCCCCTAGCCCTCGTACTATAGTCCGTATCTCCACACTATAGGCCCTATCCCACTCATCACAGACCCTTTCCCCCAGACTACAGCACCTTTCTCAACCTCAATACAGACACACACACACAACAGCCCCTATCATCCCAAACACACATTACAGCCCCTATCTCCTGCAAACATATACACTACAGCCCTTATTCCCCCCTTACACATATACTACAGCCCCAATTTCCTCACATACACCGTGCAGCCCCAAATTTCTTCACAAACACACATTATAGCCTATATCCCCCTAAATGCACGATACTGCACCTACCTCCCTATATACGCCTTGCTGCCCATATCCCCCCAAACACACCCTAAGTCCCGATACTCAACAACACACAGTACAGCCCCTATCTACATACAGCCCCTATTTAAATGTACATATAACAGCCTCCCTCCCACATACACAGGCAACCCTACAAGCATGTTTCCCTCTACACCTGCAACCAAACACGCACATAGCCCCCCACATGCACAATCCTACGAGCATCATGTCTATGGATGTACACAACCCCACAAATGTACATAACCTCACAAGCAGCATCTCCAGAAACAAACACCATACGTAACTTACCCTCACAAATGCAATAAATCAAGAATCCAACCCCACAAGCAGCATCCGCACAAACATACACCACCAACAGCATCCCCACAAACATGCAACATCACAAGCAGCTTCCTCCCACAAACACAAAACCGCAAGCATCTTCCATACCCAGCTTCTTCACACACACACACACACACACACACTCCCAGCACTTATTACATTCAATCATATCCCAAACTAATCGCATTAGTGCATATATATATATATATATATATATATGTATATATATATATATATATATACTGTATATTGTGGCAGGATGGCAAGGCTCTTGACAGTAAACTTCAAATGCAAGCTTTACGATAGAATAGTACTGCAGTTTATTTGCACCATCCACAGGTTATACAATGCTGTGCTTGACATAAATAAATAAAACAAAAAGAAAATAAATCCTACTCCAACTTGGAGAGTTACTAAACAGCAGTATTCCTAACTATCCAACTGGCCAGCTAATCCAGTTCCCAGTTTTAAACCGTTTAAACACAGCACTTCAAGCAGGCTTTTACACAGTACCTTTTCCTTTAGAGTATTAGGGTCTCAAGCTTAACTCCCTCCTCTCTCCCAGCTGTTCGACTCCCCAATGCCTTAAGAGGCTGAACCCCTAGTGCAGATTAATTACATTCACCTGAAAGGGCTGATGTCCACCAATTAACCCCATCATGCTGGGAATAGAGAGCGCTCCAATCTGTTACTTGCATAGAAAGCTTCTCTGACTGTGCCACAATATATATAAATATATATGGGTTGGGGGTTGCATTGAGAAAACTGGGCTTGTGGCAGCAAGGAGGGTAAATCCGGCCCTGGTGTTTGTTCACACACCTTGCCAAGAGCCGTGCATGCCAGCCCCACTCCTCATTAAACTCACTCCTCGTACATTCAAAAACCAATACTTTATTGCTGCATGCTAACAGGGAAGGGGGGCGTGACTAATGCCATCTTAAATAAAAAAATATTGACAATAGTATGTGATGTCATACTACCTTAATTCTCAGGAGCTGTCTCTTTTTCCATTTCATAGAATTAGACTGATGTATATAGAATATAGAATGCACACTATAACAATCTCAAAAAAACTTAGCTTTATTATGTACAAAAAAGTACCAGAATGAAAACATATAAGAAAAAATAAACAAAGTGACAGAAGCAAGGGCAAATACAATAAAATAATAATAAATTACCACAAAAATTCTTACAAGCCTCAAGACAGAAACACGAGTCACCAAACCCCCCCCACCCCCCCAACGTTTCGGCACCAACTGGCTGCCTTTATCAAGGGTACCTGTCTTGAAGCTTGTAAGAATTTTTGTGGTAATTTATTATAATTTTATTGTATTTGCCCTTGCTTCTGTCACTTTGTTTATTTTTTCTTATATGTTTTCACTCTGGTACTTTTTTGTACACAATAAAGCTAAGTTTTTTTGAGATTGTTATAGTGTGCATTCTGTATTCTATATACATTTGAATATTTAAAGCACTTAAAGGAATGTTTATATGGTTTGCACTTGGCTGTTCTTATACTATTTTGTCTCTCCATGTGCTGTTGTTTTGAGAATAGAATTAGACTGACACATTTTTCACCTTAAGTTGAAGTTGAGTGTGCTCACATATATATGCATTATTCACTGTTGATTCTGTGTGTACCTTTTAATTTTTCTCCAAACATTGTAAGAAAGACTGTGAAGTTAATCGGTCCAGGTGCTTCTTTGACCATGTCATCCAGCTCTTCACTCTTTACGTTGATTCGGCCTGTAGAAGAGGAGTGTAAACACAAGAATATCATCTTCTTCACCTGGAATATTCATGAAGTAAAGGTGCTGCACTACAATACATGCTATTACCCCGCTGAGTTACTATTTTAAAGAGGCAAAGGGAAGCTAAAGGTATATTTAATATTCCTACACTTAAACATATTATAATCTTTTTAAGACTAACATGAGAAATTAAACAACGTTTACAGTCTAATTACCGTAGTTCCATGATCTGATCTTAAAGGAACACTCCAAGTACCATAACCACTACAGCTTTTTTGTAGAGGTTATCCTGAAGTCTTAGAGCACAGCAACTCTGGCTTTTGACGATAAAAATTCTTCAGCACCAAAAGATCACCATTTAGCTTGAGATATTAAAATGAGGAAGTTTGAATCCAAATGCCTGTATAGAGTGAGAATATTATGTGTCTGTAAACACTGCGGCCATATTAGAGTGGCCAAATCACCACCAGCCTTTACAGAGCTGACTAATGGACACAGGATCCCGATGTGAATCCTGTGGAACTGGAATGATTATTTCACTGAATCAAAATGGTTGTAAACGTGTAACTATTTTACATATCTGAATCCTACAGTACCCGAGGATTAAATTATAGTCCCTCACTGCATGATACAAACACTTGCCTGCTAAACTCTCTAATAACAACGTCTTATTCTAAGAAAGTGTGCTTTGCGTTCCAGGAATCCTTCATTTTTTGTTAAAACACTTGAAAAAAGTTTAACGAAAAACTGTAGCTACACCAATAGTCCACTACAATAAGCACTAATGGTTTTGATGCTTGGAGTGCATGATTGGTCACACTGTTATCTAAAAGAATTGGTGGGGGCCCAGCCACATTTGCACTATAAACTAGTAATTGTGCAAAGAAAAAAACTGAAGGTGGTGTAATGCACTCAGCACACGAGTTATTACTAGATAGAATGGAGTTTCTTTTATTATTCTATGAGTTATGCTAGTTTCAATTCGAGCTAGTAAATTGACCCTGACATATAAAGTGTGGTCATCTCCAATATTTCCTGGCAAGGAAACAGCTTTCCAAACATTGCCTGTTAAAGTGGAATATAAAAAAGCTAAGATTGTAGGGCAATTTTATCAGAAAAATATGTTTACCTATGCCATTACAGCTATACTGAATGTCTTGATAGACTAAAATTGAATAACACAAGTCAGTATAAAGAGAGATTCCAAGCCAATAAACAAGACGATCACATTAAATCAGTTTGTCAGACTTTCCTTTTGGCTCACTGAGTTTGACATATCTCCTTTGACTCACGAAGCTTTAGTTTAAGTATAATAGTTTGTTACATACTTGAGCATGTGAATTTGATTTAGATATCACTTTTTACCCAGAGCAGCAAATGTATCTCTCAGGTCTCCTTTATCAATGAAGCCATCTCTGTTCTGGTCCATGATAGTAAAAGCCTAGCGACAGGAAAAGAGCACAGCATTAGTTCATCATCGTTACTGCATTTCTCATCCACTGTGATCGCCTCTTACAGTCTGTGACACATTTCACTTTCAGTTAAAAATAAGCAATAAACAAAGCCATTGTGAATTAAACGCTTTTAGAATGCTAATATATCTTGGCAGGGGGTTTAATTAAAATAGAATTAATCCAGCCAACGTTCCCTTGACTAAATGAACGTTAGGCACAATATTCTTCTGGATGTGTGCCAGCATTGCCCAATCCAGCCAACATTAACCATGAAGGGAATGAGGCAACTAGTAAGATAGAATGCAAGTACAGCACTATAAATGTTTTCAGATCTAGCAAACCATTCTAGAATCACAAGTGCCTGGTTATGGGAATCAATATTGATGGAGTGGACTTTGTCCAAAAACAACAAGCAGGAGTCAACAAAATCGCTGAAACAAAATATTGTGTATCTCTTGCTTTTAAAATCATAAATTGATTGAAGTAGAATATTGTTTGTTTTTTATGGTTAAATGGAGATATATTTTTTCAAACATTTTAATATATATGCTCTTTAACCCATTTTCTTTGAGACATGTATCGCACAGACTTTGACAGTTGTATACTATTGTAAAATATGTTTGAAAGATTTTTGGGCAATATTTACTGCTGTTGTGTTGACAGACTTGCAAAATTTGGATTCTTTTACAAGAGATAAAGTTAACTCTGGTAAGTGAATAATTGTGGTTTGTGCATTATCAGTGTGGCTAAAAAGATTAGACCACTACAAAAACGGTTCGATAAAGTAATAGGGGAAAGCACGCATAGACTTATAGCATCATACTTGCTACACTGAACTGTAGTGATTATGGTGCTTAGAGTACCCCTTAAAAGACTGTTGTACAAGCTTTTTGATTGGCATGTAGAGAGTTTTGCAAGTCTAGTGAAAACAAGTGAATTAATTACCTCTTTAAACTCCTGAATTTGGCTTTGATCAAACATGGAAAATACATTAGAACTTGCTCCTTCTGCCCTCTTTTTTGCCTTCTTTGGAGACTAAAAGTAAAGAACAGAACTTTAACATAAATAATAATCATAAATATAGTTTATACAGAAGCCACTTATAGACCAAATAAAGTTGCAGGAAAATTATTAAAATACAGCAATGGAAAGATTTTGGTTTTTGTCTGGACCTGTTTGGCAAGTGATGCACTAACCCAAAAAGCCTATTTATACAACACGTTCCAAAGATTATTAGTCATATATTGTCAAACATTGTTTCACTGAGGTGTTATTAAGTTAGACAAAGAAAATTAGCAATCACAACAAATTATAGCAATACATATTGTAGTTGTACATGGCACAGAAGAACAATATTGGCTTCAGAAATAGGAGACTTTCCCACCGTTACAGAGTCGAGAAATATAAGCAGAGATATCTGTTGAGTAACTTGGGCTATCAAAGAAAATTAAAAAAATGACATCAAATAATAGTTAACTGGACAATAGAAATGCTAATGAGCATAAATGCGGCAGCTTGAGAGGAACAAATCTAAGGGACAGAGTCAACTGATATCCAGTCTCTCAGAACAGCACTGGGTTTTGAAAACAACAAGCAGAAGTTGGCAAGATTGCTGCCACAAAGTATTGTAGGGTTGGCTGAAGAAACTGGTAGAACCATTTCACGTTCCACATTAGTTTCAGTTCTCTGTCCTGGAGACATAATTTAACCTAGTCAATAATTCCAAGATGACTCAGATTGTGCCACACCCATGACTTCTTGTTAGGCTTCACAAGGCCCTTAGAGTCTGTCTCATTGTAATCACAATACCTGGCAAAGGTATCCCAGAAACAGGCACTGAGTCAGTCTAGAGTGACTAGCCTGCCTTTGGGGGAGTTTGTTGAATCAGAGACCACCTGTCCACACTTTGTGGGGGCATCTGTCATTTTGTGGCAGTAGAAGAACAGCTGCAACAGAGAGATGTTATAAGTCCAGGAGGTACTGTGTAGAGTTCATTGCCGGTCCAAACTGGATGGGGGGAGGGGGTGGATTCTAGTGGTTCTATGCCACTCTAAGCATCTGAGCTACAAACCGGGGATCGGCCTGCTCGTCTGCTGGAGCAGAGAACAGATGACTAGGCCGCAGATGCTGAGACACAGAAATGAATGGTAAGTTCAAAAATCTAAAGCTGTGCCTCAGCCCTTCTAAGAACCAGGGATTCTGACTGGGTCATAAAAAAAGCTGTTCATATGCTTAATATGAGAAGAATTGAGTCAAAAATTTAGAAGCTTAGTCAAAGTACTTCTGCTCAACATGGTAGTCAGGCTCTGATGAATATAGCTAACCATATCAGCTTTATTTGGATCATTTTACTAATATTATCAGACATATATATTTGGCATATTTTAATTCTACTGATAACATCAGTTTAAAAAATCTATATCTTTATATCAAGTCACATGGCCACTCTATGAAACAATAATTACAAATGTTAAATGTAATGTTTTTCTAATGTGAGAACCATTGGGTTTATATACTAGATGGTGGATTATAGTGAAATAAAAACCCAATTTGCAAATTTTAGGCTAAAATAGCCAAGCTTAGAAACATAATAATATTACCAATCTTTGGGGGTAACTACTAGCTCATATAGGATGGAATTTATAAAAAAAAAGAAAAGAAAATTGGGTGAAAAAGTTTCAAGATATTTCTACTCTCCAAGTAAAATATTCTTTATACAGATCAGTTTAATTTCAAGTCTAAACTTCACATTTGAACCATTAAAATTCCAAACGCAACCTTTCAATGCTCTCGAACCTTTCAGGCTACACACACAGATAATGACACTGCCGCATAGCCACACATTCATGTGTAGAACACACACATTTTGTGATTTCAGCTGGCTCGACTTAATACTTTAAGTCAACAATTTTTTTATTTTATTATTTTTCTTTTTTAATAAACAATTAACCAATTACATTGCTTAGGCTGCAAATGATTTTGGACCCAGGATATCACTATAGAAATAAATTTAAATATGTGCTTTACAGGGTATAAGCCTTCACCAAAAATATAAATATAAATTAAGTATGGTTTTATTAAACGTGCATCATTTATACTTAATAAAACTGCTGGAAGAGTGTTTTTACTCCTTACAATCATGCGATACTTTTATTTAATTGCACTGTTTTCATAAACTAACATAAATTAAACATCTGGACTTTAAACAGATATTGAGTGCAAGAAAGTGATTGATGAGGGTGTGTGATCTATCCGAAGGAGCCAAGAGTCTTAATCTTTAGATGAGGGAGGATGGGAAAAGAGAGGCTGAAATGCTTTCTATTGTTATGAGTTATCGTTTTACTGAAAGCTAAAAGACTTGAGTTTATTATTTTAATTGTTCAACTTCTTAACTGAGTAGTTCTGACATAGACCGTATATGTGTATAAAATAGTATGTCCTTCACAGATAAGGTATTGAGACGGAATTATTGAAATGTTGTGAAAAATGTATGTATCCCTTATGCAGAACACAAATAAAATATAACTTGGTATAGAGGCTTTAAAGCTTTTGACTGACTGGTTGATCCATTATTTATTAATAGTAATGCTTTATTAATTTTCTCTTTGAAGGAAACATTTGTGAATATGCTATTTGATAGTCCGTCGGGTGAATACATAATGTAAATGAATCCTGTAAACATACTTTTTACATACTATCACACGCCTCTCAGGTTGGAAAAGTCTGAAGTTATTTTCATAATATTCTTGCCCTGAAATTCATGGAGACTCTTCTCTATAGGCCCATTTCTTGGGAAGTTATGTGTCAAAATTTGCAAATAATTAAATGTAAAATTGAGCCTTAATTCCCTGCAAATTGATACTTTTGGAGGCAAATTTGTGACTTCGGGTTATTATTATTATTATTATTATTATTATTATTATTATTATTATTGCCATTTATATAGCGCCAACAGATTCCGTAGTGCTTTACAATATTATGAAAGGGGATTTAACTATAAATAGGACAATTACAAATAAACTTACAGGAACAATAGGTTGAAGAGGACCCTGCTCAATCGAGCTTACATTCTATAGGAGGTGGGGTGTAAGACACATTAGGACAGGAATGTGCAATCAAAAAAAGGTGGGCTGCCCTTTAGGAGAGGGCAAGAGACGGGTATGTGAGTAGGGGTTAGTCTTGGAGGCCATAGGCTTTCCTAAAGAGATGGGTTTTAAGGCACTTCTTAAAAGATGCAAGACTAGGGGAGAGTCGGATGGCGGTAGGCAGGCTATTCCATAGGAAGGGAGCCGCCCGCGAGAAGTCCTGCAAGCGCGAGTTGGCCGTACGGGTGCGGACAACGGACAGGAGGTGGTCACGGGCAGAGCGGAGAGACCGAGAAGGGACATACCTGTGGATCAGTGAGGAGATATAGAGGGGCTAGAGTTGTTCAGTGCTTTATAGGTGTGAGTTAGTGCCTTGAATTGACTCCTATAGCACACAGGAAGCCAATGTAAGGACTGGCAGAGGGGTGAGGTGTGAGAGAACCGACTAGAGAGGAAAATCAGTCTAGCAGCAGCATTCATTACAGACTGTAGGGGTGCAGTACGGCTTTTGGGAAGACCAAGCAGGAGAGGGTTACAATAATCCATGCGGAAATTATTAGAGCATGGACAAGCTCCTTGGTAGTATCTGGTGCAAGAAAGGGGCGGATGCGGGCTATGTTTTTAAGATGGAATCTACAGGATTTGGCAACATGCTGGATGTGAGGCTCAAAGGTGAGACCAGAGTCAAGTATGACGCCAAGACAGCGCGCTTGCAAGGATGGGCTGATGTTGGTACCACAAACTTGAAGGGAGAGCGAAAGAGGAGGATCAGTATTAGGAGGAGGAAAGACAAGGAGCTCAGTTTTTGAGAGATTGAGTTTCAGAAAGCGGGAGGACATCCAGTCAGAGATGGAAGAAAGGCAAGCAGTGACACGTTGCAGGACAGCAGGGGAGAGGTCCGGGGAGGAGAGATATAGCTGGGTGTCATCAGCGTACAGGTGGTAGTGGAAACCAAATGAGGTAATAAGTTTGCCAAGACAGGCAGTATAAAGAGAAAATAGAAGGGGACCAAGGACGGAGCCTTGGGGGACTCCAACCGAGACAGGGCGAGGGGAGGAGGTATCATTAGAAAAAGAGACACTGAATGAGCGTTGGGAGAGATAAGAGGAAAACCACGAGAGGACAGAGTCACAGAGACCAAGCGATTGCAGAGTTTGAAGAAGGAGAGCATGATCAACGGTGTCAAAGGCCGCCGAGAGGTCAAGAAGAATTAGTATGGAGTAGTGGCCTTTGGATTTAGCTGCGATTAGGTCGTTAGTAACTTTGATAAGGGCAGTCTCTGTAGAGTGGAGAGGGCGGAAGCCAGATTGAAGGGGGTCAAGGAGAGAGTTGGAATTGAGGAAATGAGACACACGGGTAAAGACAAGTCTTTCCAGAAGCTTTGAGGAAAAAGGGAGCAGGGATATGGGACGGTAGTTAGAGGGGGTGGACGGGTCAAGGGATGTTTTTTTTAGTATAGGTACTACAGTGGCATGTTTAAGGTCAGCAGGGACGATGCCAGAAGAGAGCGAGCAGTTGAAGATGTGTGTTAGAGAAGGCACGAGACAAGCGGAGAGAGATCTGATAAGGTGAGACGGGACAGGATCGAGCGGGCAAGTGGTGGGGCGAGAGGAGCAAAGAAGAGCAGCCACCTCTTGGTCAGTGGCTGGGGAGAATGTCTGAAGGGTAGGAAAGGCATGATCAATGTGTGATTGAGAAACAGAAAGGCAAGGAGGGGAGAATTCTTTCCTTAGCTGTTCAATTTTGTCAGTGAAGTAACATGCAAAGTTATCAGCAGTAAGGTTGGTTTGGGGGGTGGCCACAGCGGGGCGAAGAAGAGAATTAAAGGTGTCAAAGAGACGCCTGGGGTTGCGGGAACATGAACTAATGAGAGAGGAAAAATAGGACTGTTTGGCAAGGGCAAGGGCTGCACTGTATGAACACAGTATGAATCTATAATGGAGAAAGTCTGACTGGGTGCGAGACTTCCTCCAGGAGCGTTCAGCACACCGGGAGCATCTTTGCAGGTAGCGCGTTGATTTAGTATGCCACGGTTGGGGGCGGGTCCTCCTTGAGGTGCTTGTTTGGAGTGGCGCTGCAGTGTTCAAGGCAGATGTAAGAGTAGAGTTATATATGGAGATGGCCAGTGAAGGACAGGATAGGGAAGGGATGGACAGCAGTTGTGAATCAATGTCAGCTGACAACTGTTGGAGATCAAGAGAATTAAGGTCCCTCCTGAGTTGAGGCTGGTTAGGCGGAGGTTGTTGGGTGAGGGGGTACGTGAGAGCAAACGATAAGAGGTGGTGATCAGAGAGAGGATAAGGAGTGTTGCAGATATTAGATACCGTACATGCATAAGTGAAGATTAGGTCAAGGGTATTGCCAGCTACATGGGTGGGAGAATTTGCCCACTGTGATAGCCCGAGGGAGGAAGTAATTGAAAGTAGTTTATTGGCTGCAGAGGTCAAAGGTGGGTTTATAGGAATATTGAAGTCCCCGAGAATTAGGGATCGGATGTTAGAAGAGAGGAAATAGGGTAGCCAGGCAGCAAAATGGTCAAGGAAGAGAAGAGGGGAACCAGGTGGACGGTAAATAACAGCAATGTTAGCAGCAAAGGGTTTGAAAAGGCGAATTGAGTGTATTTCAAATGATGGGAAAGAGAGGGAAGGGGGGGGTGGGAAGAGGTTTAAAAGAGCAGTGAGGGGAGAGGAGAAACCCAACACCACCACCTTTACATTCAGAGTTTCTTAGGGTGTGGGTAAGTTGGAGACCACCGAAGGACAAAGATGCAGGCGTGGCAGTGTCAGAGGTGGAGAGCCAGGTTTCTGTTAAGGCTAGTAAATCTATTGAACGAGAGATGAAGTAGTCATGGACAGCAGTGGATTTAGTTATATTGCAAACAGAGCGTGCGTTCCAGAGGGCAGTATTGAAGGAGGATTTAGAGGAACAAGAGATGGGTATGAGATTAGTGTGGATCCTTGGGTTAGTATGTGCTGAGTTTGTTGAGAGGGGACCGGGGTTTGGAGAGACATCACCAGCTGCTAGGAGCAGAAGGATAGAAAGGAAGTGAAGGTGGGAGTAGGATTTGAAAGTTTTGTAGGAGGGTATGTATGTGGAGGATTTGGAAAGAGTCGGTGGAGATAGGCTGGAAAGGTATGTGTAGAGTGCATGGGATGAATAGAGAGGGGAGGGGAGTAAGGTGGAAGTAATGATGATGGTGTTGCCAGGGACAGGTGAGTGAAAGGATAGGGATATTTTAGTAATGACAGAAGTTAGTGTTAATGTGAAAAATAGAAGGGAGAACATTAGAGAAAATGTGTATTATATATATATGTAGACCATATATACAAACACACAATATCAATAACAATATTAATAAGTGTTTAAACCATTGTAAGGATGCAGTGTGTTAAATGAATTCAGGTGAGGAGTGGTTTAATGACTTGATTGGTGTGTTATGGAAACCTGTTACCTGGAAGAAGCATAGCAGAATGTTTGCCTGTTAGTAGCTTATCTCTTCTTCTTTCGATAAAAAGTCGTATTGCACAACAAAAAGACAACGAAGAGAGAAAGTCACAAAATCTTTGAAAACTCTAGCTTTCTAAACAAAAGATTGTAAAGTCATTGATGCCACAGAACATCAATGTGTGACAGCACCATGGCTGAGCTGTTGAGAACAGTCATATGGTGAATCTGAGATTCAAGGTTAAGAAATAGCTTGAGAAAGTCCAGGAAACTTTTGAAAAAGTCTAAGGAGAAAAATGGGTCAGATCGAAAGGTTTTGAAAGAAACTGGTGTTTTTATTATCATGTGTGATATCTGCATCTGAAGTGCATTTTAGAATGTGAGCAGTTTGGGCTATTTAAATGTTGTGTAACAAATAGGCATAGAGTTTTATGCTATACAGTTTCTGTTTCTCCTTAAAGGGACACTGTAGACACCATAACTGCTTCATCTCATTGAAGTGGTTATAGTGTCTGCAAGTTCCATGGAGCTGTTCCTTCCATTCAGCATTAAACCATTTTTAATGTTATAATGCTAAACAATAATCCCCAACAACCCATGCCCTCTGTGCTGCTAAAGCTAATAATAAAGCTTTTAACAAATGCATAATATATTAGTATAGATGTTTAATTGTGCCTCCTCTTTTTCCCTCTGTTGGTTACTTTTTCTAACTTGATCTGCGAATTAAATGTTGTGAAAAATATAATATATTATGTAAGTATTACATCGATTGGCCCCTTTTCGCACTTTTTTTGTTCGTTCACCCAAATAGTTTACCAGAATATTTGTATGGACAATATGCAGACAAGTCAAACTGCTATATGGATGACTATCGGACTACCCAAACTAAATTTTAGTTTTTGTGCACAATTCTAGTATTTATGGAAAGAGTAGTCCCCATATGCCAGCCCACAGCTTTGTGTCCCCATATTCAAGAGGTTTAACATGAATGGTGAGTTCTGGCCTCTCATTTCAGATATTGCTAAAGTGAAAGCTCCCCTGCCAAATTAGTAATATCTCTCCAGTCCAACATTATCCTACAATACAAATTAGCAATATCTCTCCGGTCCACCATTATCCTACAATACAAATTAGCAATATCTCTCCGGTCCAACATTATCCTACAATACAAATTAGTAATATCTCTCCGGTCCAACATTATCCTACAATACAAATTAGCAATATCGCTCCGGTCCAACATTATCCTACAATACAAATTAGCAATATCACTCAGGTCCAACATTATCCTACAATACAAATTAGCAATATCTCTCCGGTCCAACATTATCCTACAATACAAATTAGCAATATCGCTCCGGTCCAACATTATCCTACAATACAAATTAGCAATATCACTCAGGTCCAACATTATCCTACAATACAAATTAGCAATATCTCTCCGGTCCAGCATTATCCTACAATACAAATTAGCAATATATCTCCGGTCCAACATTATCCTACAATACAAATTAGCAATATCGCTCCGGTCCTACAATAATGGTCTTTCTATATCCAACATATTTCCAATACTTTACAATTATAGAAAGGGAATATATGAGAGCTGAAGAAGGCTCAGCTTAGATTAATTCCGTGTGCTTCCCATGTCTGCTAGAGTGTATTAAAAGTGTTCTAAGTCCAGTGAAGTTATGCTCTCTAGGATTTCTACTGACATTAATGTACATTAGAAAGATAAAGTTGTCCCCTGGCCGTGGTCTCTTCCAGTTCAAGAAGCTGAATGACATGTCTTCCAGCCAATTCAAGGGACAGCAAATATGCATGTAATTGACCAGATGATCAATTGATTATCACAATCTATATCACAAGGGATATGGTGGCTAAGGAATGTCATTGCAAAATGTCATTGTAACCTCTATGGGCGATAGATGTGTAAAGAACAAAAAAGTATTCGTTCGCTCTCCAAGGAGTCTAAAGGAGGCTTTGTGTTAGAATAGATTTTATAGAGACAAATTTCTCTCTTACTTAAATGAGTTTGCCTTGACAGAGACACACAGTAATTCAACCCACTTCATCACCAAGAATTAACTTTCATATCTTTAAGAGTAATTAAATAAAGACCAATCGTAATGATTAAACCGAATGCAATTTTTTTAAATAGGGATGTAGGGAGATTTGCTCGCCGTGCAAAAGAGTAAAAAATAACAAATATAAAAAATGAAATAAAATAAGAATTGAGAAACATTTTCCCAGTTAACAGGGTATATATACAAGTATATTCCAATAATTTAAGATAAATTTTGAGAAGAGAAAACACTTTGCAAAAAAAATAATTATGCCAACAGTGAAGTCTTGTTATGCATTTATATACATATACTGTTTTTACATTTTTATTATTGGTGTACCGTTTTGATGTGAGAGTCAATTTTAGATTTATTTTTTTTTTTAAATACGTTCTTATTTTGTCAATATTACACTATATGCACTTTCGGTGCTCATGGAGCTCATGGCGTGTCTTGGAGGCCAACTTCCTGCCTACAGACTATGAACACGGCCGCAGAACAACCTGAAAAGCACCTAAAAATACTATTTTCTCCATTCCTTAAGCTTTCCCCAGCAGTTGCAGCTTACCCTAGTGCCCAGGATGCCAGCTACCCGGTTGAGGTAGTATCCTGGTAGAGATCGGGGTGAGATGCAGAAGTCTATGTTGGCTGCATGGAACTATACAACAGATCGGAACTTGTGGCTGGACATATTTTAACCAGGTAATAATTGGACACTGTATGTAGAATCAGGGCGCTTGGCCAGTGGGTACCTGAGGAGGTGAGATGTTCAGGGATGTATTGGTTTTGCAGGATTCTGTTTTGCAAAAGGGGGCACTGTCTAGAGAGAAATTAGTGGGGGGATAGACAATTATAAGCCCAGACACACTGGCGCTGGGGAGGGAACTGTATATTGTTGTGCTGATCACCCCCTGGTGGGTGAATACATATTTATAAATGTATAAATACTGTGTGTTTGTGTTACTAAAGTGTCCTTGGTGTTGACCATTCATCAAGCCTTGGCTGATGTTTGGTGAAACTGCTAGACATGCTTTGATCATTCTGGAAAGCTGAGCTATTCAAGGAGGTAGACTAATGGAGATACTCTGGCTGAGGTCAAGATTTCATTACAATTATTATTTGAAATTATGGACATTGCAGAGGTATTGTTCATCATTATAGTGAAACTACAGTCCATCTGCCCATTCACTCGTGTTCCTAGCTTTTAGTTCCCTAAGTATTCCTCCAGCTGGTGGTCTGGTAAAATTACAAATACCATGATGGCTGGCAAAGCATCATTAAAGAGTTGTAGTTTTGCAACATCTAAAAATCTACCGTCCAGCTATTCCTATTGCAGACTCTAGCACTACTTAATCTCTATTAGTTTTAGCCCAATCCAGGTCACAATGAGCCTAAACTTAGCTTGCACCTTTAAGATAAACGTGGTTAGAAAAGAGAATCATTGTATCATAGTATTCCTTTAACCCTTTAAGGACCAAACTTCTGGAATAAAAGGGAATCATGACGTCACACATGTCATGTGTCCTTAAGGGGTTAAAGGCATTTGGATTTCAATACTAATTGAACACTGAGGATTTTTTTTTTTCAAAGTAAGATATTTCTTAAAACATAAAACGAAAATCTTTTAGAATTTTACTATTCCTGGGTCTGATGTTTTTACAACGGTATGCGATTTTCAAAGCTCAGGTGGTAGGTTCCAGACAGTTTATCAGAAGAGCATCTATTTTCAGACGCATGAATCACTGCCCCTAAATCCCTCTGCATACACAGCTCACTCCAAAGTGTCGCCAAGCTCAATAAACCCACCCTGGGCTCACTGGAATATAAAAATAGAGAAATACTTTTATGTCATCCACAGTTACATTCCAGTGTTCTTGTTAAAACAACAGCCTCCACTCATTTACTTCTCCAGTAGGTTTTGTGTGGTCTTTCACTGCACACGTCATTACTGTTTGTCAGTATCCCAGAGCTCAAACTAAACGTGCAATTATTTTCACTCGACTGCTTTTGTCCGGGTTAATCCTTTGAAAGTAGATTTACCAAGTATTTGAAATATTACGATGCCTTTAACATTTCTCTAATATTGAAGAATCCCTTCAGACATCAGAAAGAACAAATTCCCGACAGAGTTCATTTGACATAATTACTACTTCAACATTTCTAGGGGATTAAAAAACAATTATCAGCTTTTTCCACATCCTTCTACCGCTAAGGCAAATATACTTATTTTATAGTTGGAGCATTTTTTTTTTTTTTTTTATCCATTTCAATCCATCTGTGTATCAGGGACTGTAAAAAAAAAAAAGAATAAATATAAAGATAAGAAAAAGAACAGAGCTCAGCTTGATTTGATTTCTGTAATGTTAAAAGAATGGATTTTTTTAATCTTTTTTATTTTTATTCTCAATTGAGAATTCACCCTATTTATGTTGTATATTTTATGTTATATAACGCTTGAAAAGATGTATTTAACAGAGTATCCAAACAATCCTTCATGGGGTTCAGTAAACTAAGTGACATAAAAAATCATGAGCAATGACATATAGCAAAGATATTCACTAGAGTGAGAATTCAAGGTGAATTCAAAGTGAATTTCAAATTTAAGGTTAGAATAGCCAAACTAGAGTCAGCTATGCTTTCAGATCAGCTTTTCTGGCCTTAAAGGAACACTACAATATCAGGAACGCAAACATGTTTTCCTGACACTATAGTATACTTGAAAATGAGAGAAATCTCAATGTATCTTTCCTGGTAAAATATTTTATAAATAAATAAAACAACTATTTAGGCCACCGGCCTTCTCTCTTTGTAGTAAAAAGGTGATTTTATTCCTTTTTCCCCATGCTACGCCAGTACGCCAGTCTTGCTACTGCTGGCGTCACCTGGCTCTGCCTCTGTAGCTGAGATCATTAAACTTGGAGAGTTTCCCATAGGAGAGCATTGAGAGGCTATTGCGCATGCTCGGTAAAACGCTATGCTGCATCAGTCAGCATCTTCTCATAGAGATCCATTGAGGAACGTTTAGTGTCTCCACTCTTGGAAATGCTGAACGCCAGTGCTGCTTACTGTGTAGCACTGACCCAGAAAGCACCTTGAATGGTCGTCTGAATGACTGCCACTAGAGCTGTTCCTACAGTAATGTGAACACTGCCTTTTCTATGAAAGGGCAGTGCTTACATTAAAAAGCCTGCTGTAGTTGTAGTAGCTGTAGCTGCAGTTGTTCTGGTCACTATAGTCCCTTTGAATTCTAAATTCACCTTGAATTCACTTTGAATTATCACTTGAGTGAATAACCCTGAAGGTGTAACTCACCATTTGCAGAGTATGTTTTTTTTTCTCCTAGAGTAAACATGAGGTTAGCATGATGCCAATAAAAAGATTGTGGAACTGATTTATTATAGCCGCAAAAAAATAAATGTGGAAACTTTGGGTGGTAATGAACAGCTGAGGACACGGGGCTAACCCTATGAAATAAAGTTCACTTTCACATTAACTGAGGACACGGTCTGTAGGCACTTGGAGAACGTTTCATATATAGTTTGGGTGCTATCCTCAATAATTAGAAGGATAGCACCCACAGAGTCTTTACACTTTAACAACTACAATGAGCTGTGGAAAAAGAGTGCGTATCGCAAAAAAAAAGGGTGTGTCATCCTGGCATGTCCTACTGATTGTAGCCCATGTGTAGAGTGATCTTGAAGTTCTCTAAGCCTGGGCTCAATGACCTGACAGCACTATGCATAGCATTCGCTCATCTATTCATGCACTAGCATTGTGTTGATTAAGGACATGTCAGGGACATATTCTTGGTTTCCCCATGTGCAGGACACCAAGGTGGAACAGGACGCCAGATTTGGGATGGTCATTCCAGAACCAGGACTGTTGAAAAGTGTGTGCCTTTAATTCTCATATTTAGAACTATAGAATTTCTTGGAGCTATATAACTACAATATAATATAATAATCACAATAAAAATGGTAAGCTACCAAAACCTTATCTTTATGTTTATGGTCACTGTATTCCAACTTGTTTGTATGCATATGGTATTCTCCAGTGCCACAGAATACATGTACGCCTGATAAATTATAAAATGTATAGGGAAAGAAATGGTTGGATTTAGTTTACAAAGAAGTCTGTTAAAAATGGACATAAACATATAGGGATAACATAAATAGCAGTTCCATACATGTGAAGACCCTAAATTGGTTAACCCTTGAGATTTCATGAAAGGGATATGTGGAACCCACTCAAGTGTTTAATATATTTATTACAAAATGTTTCAGTAATCTAATGAAACAATCTCAGAAAATAACATGTAAAACAGTATAAACTGCATAACTCTATGCATACAATAGAGCATTACTATTGCAATAGATTCCACTATACCTTTGGCACTTAGGGGTACAAACAGTAAGAAAACATCAGTAAGAAAACGAGCACTCTTCTGTCTCCAGTAACCTTACCTCCATATCAGGGTTGCCTACTCCTCCTGCCACTGATGGCTCCATGAAAAAGATGTTAACTGTAGCTTTTACAAGAACAAGTATGACTATAGTGGGTGAGCATCTTGGTGGCAAGTTAGGGCATCATTGGGTTTGGACCCCCTCTTACAGGAGCTATGTGTCACGAAATGTGTTTGGGAATCATGTTTGCTTGTTATAATGTAGTCCTGTCTGACTTTGTAGGACCTACTTTCGAATCTATCCATGGTGATGGTAATCTTCATTTATTGTTTTACCCCTCACCCTTTTTTTTTTAATTGTACCCATAATTTGAAAATTGCATTAAATTATAATAAAAAAAAAAGAAGATTGACTGCAATCTAAACACAGTGGAAGTGCAATATGTCTGCTTATGTTTGACATGATGTGTACTGTTTCATAAAGCAGTGAGCAGGACAGAGTGAAAATGTACTTGCCTCGTTAAGAAAACCTGCCTACTTGCCCCGTGATTCCCATATGTTTCCCCTTTTTCATGGACTTTGTTTCAACATTGGGTGATGATGAATATACATTGATTGGAATGGGGACTCAACTTGGAGTATGTCTGGAAGTCTTCTAAAAGAGTTTTCCCCTGATGAGCAATACGGACATTAATAGGGACTCATACTGGATTTTCATTCTAAGCACCTGTCCAAAATTAGATAGAAATTGTTAGAAGCAGACTTGCTTTAAATATCTTTAGGTATGCAATTGTTATGACAATGCAAAATGATCCTGACATGCCATTTAAAAACTAGATATATAGAGAGACTGGCATTCATAGAGATTTTATACAAATTAAAAACATACCTCCCAAGTGTCCCTATTTAAGAGGGCCAGTCCTTATTTTGGGCCCAAATCTCAATGTCCTTCTTTTCTATCCTTATGTCCCTCTTTTCTAGAAGCTCCTTGTTGTTGGTGTGTCTGATTGTATAACAGAGCTCAACAATAATAATACTCACAGTAATGTGCCTTTAACCCCTTAAGGACACATGACATGTGTGACATGTCATGATTCCCTTTTATTCCAGAAGTTTGGTCCTTAAGGGGTTAAAGGACCACTATAGTGCCAGGAAAACATACTTGTTTTCCTGGCACTGTAGTGCCCTGAGGGTGCCCCAACCCTCAGGGTCCCACTCCCGTGGCGCTGAAGGGGGAGGAAGGGGTTAATCCCTTACCATTTTTCCAGCGCCGGGCTTCCTTGGCGCTGGTGACTCTCCTCCCTCTTCTTCTGTCATCAGCTGAATGCGCATGCGCGGCAAGAGCCGCGCACGCATTCAGCCAGTCCATAGGAAAGCATTCTCAATGCTTTCCTATGGACGCTGGCGTCTTCTCACTGTGAAAATCACAGTGAGAAGCGTGGAAGCACCTCTAGCGGCTGTCAATGAGACAGCCACTAGAGGCTGGATTAACCCATATGTGAACATAGCAGTTTCTATGAAACTGCTATATTTACAGCAGGCAGAGTTAAACCTAGATGGACCTGGCACCCAGACCACTTCATTAAGCTGAAGTGGTCTGGGTGCCTATAGTGGTCCTTTAAGCTACAATAAATTTATTTAGAATGTAGTCTGTGTAAATAAGATACATTGTTCTTGTTCTAAATTACACTTTAGTTACAAAAATTTGTATTAGTAAGTCACTTAAAATTCCACAGGCTAGCCCTGCCCCTGACCTCACCCACATTTATTAAATTAAAGTGTCCCTCTTTGTTCATTTAAACTCTTGTGAGGTATGCTGCTACGAGATACATGCTCAGAAACGATCAACATATGGTGTTTTATTGCCTGTTATGGATGAAGAAAAAAATACATCTAAATTGTCCACATCCCTGTGATAGTCTATTTTGTTTTTTCTTAAAAGGTTATGCTTCGGTAAATTGTATTGTGGAACATTATTCAATCAGGAGCTTGGTATTTCAAGGTTATTTGCTTCAGGGCTCAATAAAACCTGTTGACACATAACTGAATTGGATTGTATTATTTACTGTATTTTGGATTCTTAAAATAAATCCCTTTAAGCACCTTGCACCATCTCAGAAGCAGATTATTTTATTAAGTCATTATTTATAATTACAGGACAAAGTTTCATTTGTGCAAAATGCTAAATGAAATATCTAAGAATGGACAGAATATTCTCTTAAACGTTCTGAAAGAAGGAACGGTCTAAGTGTGTAGCACTTACTTTATGGCATTGCAAGACCTGATTAGCGATTATGACATAAATCCGTCTGTTCTTTGCTCCTGGAAATTGATTTTTTCTGTTTAATAAAAATGGCACTAAATATGTTGTTCTGAAGTGTCCAGACTAAAATGGAGTAGGATATAAATATAAATGTTATTGGGCCAAATAAACACCTGGAGCAGATTCCGACTAGCCATTGGGCAAACTGATCCAATAAGGAACAACATTTTCACATTTTCAAACTACCTTTGATGGTCAACTTCAACTCTTTGTTCTTTTATGATATATTCTTTCTTCCGAATCACGGAATAGCAGGTTATCGAATTCCCTATTTTCAACACTTCATTCTCGCCATTCTTTCTCACCTTATCTGATTTCTTTCCACTAGACTTGTGTCATCAATAATTTATGACCTCAGTCACTCTCTCTTCTGGTTTCTTCCCCACTTCCAACAAATATACAACAGTCACTTACATCCTAAACCTGGAATTTCGCAACCTTAGTTCTCCATCTAATTATAATCTCTTATCAACTCTGCTTCACCACAAAGCTTCTTCAATGGCTTGTAGACATACCTCCGAATAATTTCCCAAATCCATTTCTCTACTTGACTCTTATTAATCTGGTTTCTGATTGCTCCGCACTCTTGAAAAAGACCTAACCAAAGTGATTAATGATTTTTACCACTAAGTCCATGGTCATTACAACCTCTGCAGCATGTAATACTGTTGATCATATACTCCTTCTTAAAAGCCTCACCTACTTTGGTCATCACAGAACCATCTTTCCCTGGTTCTCATTCTACCTCTCCGACACTCATTCAACACCAATGTTTGCTGCCATGGTGTTATTTTTGACTCACGGTCTTGCATTTTCTCTTTATCCAGTCTTTGAATCCTAAAATGTCCATCTTAACTAAATTTTACAGATCTGTTCCATCTAGCAAACTGCAACAAAGATACTTATCATTGTGCTTGCAATTTCCACCCTCCAATATGGCAACTCCTTACCAGTCTGTCAAATACTAACGTAACATTATGCCACTGAAATATGCCACTGATTTTTATACCCCACACTCGTCTATCGGGCAAGGTCCTCTACCTGTATTTTGGCGCTTTATAAATACCAGTAATAAATAAATAAAAAAACTAGTCTCCTTTCCATTCTTTAACCTTACACTCTATAACTATCTCAAATACATGGTGAGCTGAAGATCTTGATGGACTTATTGCTGTCACTGACTGAAAACACCAAAGAGATGTTAGATATCTAAAGCACTTTGCTTTATAGAGGCTTAGACCACATTTTTATGTTTTTTGTACTGTTTTCTTTTCACATGACAAGTGGAGACTGCAAAATCTCCTCTTCCCAATGATAACCAAGCATAAACAAGGAAAGATTTTATCTGCTAAACTATATCCCCAAAGACTATACAAATTTAGGAACAAACTAATTAACATCACATTATATCTAAGAATAACTTTATTTAGGAATTCAATTATAAATAAACATTACTGCCTAAGAACTTACATAATACCCTGAAGCAGATGATAACTCCTAAATACTATTTGGACAAACTACTGAGGAAGGTTGATGGGGGGGGTCACTAAACTAAATTTATAAAGCATGTATAAACAATCGGCCAGTTTTGTGCATATGCAGATTTTCTATTGGGTATTGTTAAAACAAAATGTTGCATAATGGTAAAACACAACCTTTATTATTATACCTTTTAAAAATTCTTAGTTTGCATATATTGGTTTATTATTGGCGTAGAATGTAAAATAATATGTTTTAACAAAATGCAAATGTAATGTCAGACTCGGTTTACTTTGAAAAGATAATTTTAAGGTACAACACATCAATAATATATTTAAAATTAGTTTTGGATATCATGTTATACATATATAGTCCAGTTTCTCAAAGCCATCTTAAAGAAACACCACCAAGCATCCACATGATGTCAAAATCCCCGGTAGAATATGATGTGGTTATCTGTGGAGCCTGACGATTTGAGAAATACTGAAGCAAATAACTCAATTCTCCATTTACTACATGGTATACAATAATTGTTGGATTTCAGATCAGATCATTCTGATACTCAAAATGAATGAATTCGATTTATCAGTTTTTTGGTATTACAGCATTTACTCCTTAATCGGTATATGATCCAGACAAAAACGGCAAAAAAAATTTAAAATTCATTTGAGAACAATATTAGAGTGAAATGTAGAAGATAGCTATCTTGGGGAGGATATTTTAAGTCTAAGAGCATGTGATCTAAAATGGAATCACATTTGATAACATAATACCATAATTTAACCTTTTATTCTGTATATAACAAAACACTTTGTATGATGATGGGGGACATGCATTTATTCATAAAGCTATTAAACTGTATGAACCTAATCTTAACAGTATACAAAAGAATAATGACACATTTTCTGAGAATTTCATCAACTCATGCAACAAGCATTCCTCCAAAATTACAGTCTGAAGTGATGGATCAGGTCAGCCAAATAGTTGAATTAAATAAAATAAAGTTGTATTACTTGTCAAATATACAAGGTAATTAAAAAAATAGTTATAAGTGTAATATAAGTACGGTAGTAATACACCATATATGTTCATGCCAGCCTTATTATATGAAATAAAAAAACAATATTTTCAGCACAAATTCTAGTTAATTGTCTACCTCCCTATTCAAAAAGCAGAGAAAACAAGAAACTAAGAATATAATACAATAAACATACCATGTTTCTGTTCTTTCCTCGACCCCCTCAGTTGTTAACTGTAAAGCCAGTCCAGACAAAAGGGATTGTCTTTTTATAGTGTCACTCAGGATTAATTATGTTCGTTCCAAGTTTAGCCATTAGATGTATGGTTGGAAAAGTTCCGCAAACAAATCCCAGAATTATTCCAAGCATCTGTCCTTGATGGCCTCTGATTTTCATGAAATATTAGTTGATTGTAGGAAGCTCTGTTAAAATGTGTAATAGTGTACTTGTTTTATTCCATTTTATAAAAGCATAGTAAATATTGATTTTAAAAAAATAATTATTTCACAAGTTCATGGACATGAAACATTGAATGGAAAGGGGACGAACGCAGTTCAGACATAAGTCGACTTGGAGATTCATTTCATTCGGAACTGAAATTTATCATCAATTGGGCTGATCGGGTAATTAGTTAAATTACTAAACTCTGAGCCAAAATGTAGCATTCGATTTGATTTGCATTCTAATTTCTATAACAGAGATTATTTATGAGAAAAAAATGATTGATGACTAGGGAACAGTCAAGTAAAAAGTGAGCAATAGCGGGGAAAAAAGGAGCAGCAGTAAAAATACAAACATGTATTCCTGACACTATAGTGTTAAACTAACTGTTTAGCACTTTGGCCCTCCTCAGATCGCTTAGAAAGGTTTTCTTGTCGGGCTGGTTTAACTGGGGCTGGCCCTGCTTCCATTCTTGATGATCTCAGCCAATCCAATGCTTTCCCAAAGGAAAAATGGGCAAGTAGGCAGTTTGGAGCATTGCCGTGCGTTACTATGGCAACTCTTCAACACAGTCCCCACCTCGCAAGACGAGTGAAGTCAGCCTGCAGTCAGAGGAGCTACAGGCTAAAGTTCCCTTGCCACCACCGGACCACTGCAGTGCTATGCCCCCCCTCACAGGCAAAAAGAAGAGTCAGGAGACATAAAGCTTTTTTTTAAATAAAAATATATACAGAATTGCTCCCATCTCCCCACACACAATACAGACCTTATGTACCCCTACACAAATTGCACCCCTCACTGCAGTCTACGTGTATTCAGCAGTCTGTGTGTGTGTGTATTCAGCAGTATGTGTGTGTTTATTCAGCAGTGTGTTTGTTTAATCATCTGTCTGTGTATGTGTATTCAGCAGTCTGTGTGTATGTATTCAGCAGACTGCGTGCATGTATTCAGCAGTCAGTGTATGTGTATTCAGCAGTGTGTTTGTTTATTCAGCAGACTGTGTGTGTGTATTCAGGAGTCTGTGTGTGTATTCAGCAGTCTGTGAGTGCATGTATTTAGCAGTCTGTTATATGTATGTATTGCATTTGTTGGAGGCAGGGCCGGATTAACATAGGGGCTGATGGAACTGCAGCTCCAGGTCCAGGCCCATGGAAAAGGCCCACTGAAATTTTTTTATTTTTTTTTAACACACTACTCTTAGGTTTGCCACCTGACTGGTATTTTAAGGCACAGCTGGTATTTGAGGCTGCCTGGCCGTGATGGTATTGCAGTAATATCGGCAATACAAATGCAAATATTTTTCTCAGTATAAACGGAGATTACTCTGCAATACCAGCACCGGCCAATAGGGGTCACTGTGTATGGAGAGAGGCAGGGATAAAAAGTTACAGCATCTCCCTGCCTCTCTCTATTCATTAATCCGCGGGGGAGCAGCTAGACAGCACAGAGAGTCCAGACAGCAGCTCCAAGCCGGCAGAGACAGACTACAGCTCAGGAAAGTGAAGGATGGAGAGAAAGGCAACTGGGAGACATGGGAAAACTGAGACAAAAGGGGACACTGAGACACTTGGGGACACTGGGAAACATGGGGACACAGACACTAGGGGACACTGTGAGACATGGGGACGCTGAGACACATGGGGATGCTATAAAACATAGGGAGTCACATTGGGACACGGAGACACATGGGGATGCTGTAAAACATAGAGAGTCACATTGGGACACGGAGACGCTAGGGACACAGTGTCTCCATGTCTCCCAGTGTCCCCATATCTCCCAGCCAGTGTCCCTAGTGTATAAGTGTCCCCATGGCTCCCAGTGTCCCCTAGTCTCCCTGTATCTCTGTCCCCAAGTCTCTCAGTGTCCCCATGTCTCCCAGTGTCCCCAAATGTCTGTGTCCCCATGTCTCCCAGTGTCCACATGTTTCCCAGTCAATGTCCCTAGTGTCTCAGTGTCCCCATGTCCTCCAGTGTTCCTTTGTCTCCCAGCCAGTGTCCCTAGTGTCTCAGTGTCCCCAAATGTCTGTCTCCATGTTTCTGTGTCTCCATGTCTCCCAGTGTCCCCATGTCTATGTCCACAAGTGCCCCCATGTCTCCCAGTGACCCCAAGTGTCTGTGTCCCCATGCCTCCCAGCCAATATCCCCATGTCTCCCAGTGTCCCCTAGTATTCCAGTGTCTGTGTTCCAATGTCTCTCAGTGTCCCTAGTGTCTTAGTTTCCCCATATGATTGTGTCCCCATGTCTCCCAGTGTCCCCATGTCTGTATCCACAAGTGCCCCCATGTATCCCATTGTCCCCAAGTGTCTCAGTGCTCCCATGTCTCCCAGTGTCCCCAAGTGTCTGTGTCACTGGGTCTCTCGGCGTCCCCATGTCTCACTGTGTCCCCACGTCTCTCAGTGTCCCCTAGTATCTTAGTGACACGAGACACACTGAGACATGGGGACACTGGCAGAAATGGGGACACAGTCACTGGGAGACTAGGGGACTGGGCAACATGGGGACACTAACACTGTGATACATAGGGACACTGATGCCAAGCTAGCCTTCTAATTCTTTGGACAGACATGCCTCCTTTTTGGTCATGTTTGTCCCTTTTAGCAGTTCTGGTCATGTGATTCGCGTCAGTGGCCCAGCCTTTTACCCCGCCCATTGACTTCCTGCTTCACTGGACACTGCTGTTAGGGGGTATGGATTTACTTGAAAGATTAAAGCATACATTAGAGAGAGATATGCATAGAGTATGTGTTTTCTTATAGCTGCATCCTTTGAGTTTCACTCCAACACCAACTCCATCAGATACATGACGCTTGAGAGGTATGACTGTATTAGTGTTTTGGTAGATACGATTCTGTAATTAGGCCCATCATAATTGTCAGCACCAGTCCCACTGGGCTCTTAATCTGGCCCTGGTTGGAGGTACCAAAATATAAGCTTAATTGTATCAATAATTTTCAGTTCTATTCCTGTGAGAGGTTGTGTAGGCAGTGCACTGCTTTTCTCGAGAGCCTATAATGCTGTGAAGATGGCCCTGAGAGGGCCTGGACCCGATTAGTCACACCATCACTACCTGTCCACAAATGTACCAATGAAATAATAACTTAAACCAGAGGCAGGAAACTTTTGGCACTCCAGATAATGTACACTGCGTCTCCCAGAATGCTCTCACAGCCATAATGCTGACAAAGCACCAGGTGAGATGTAGTTCACAACATCTGAAGTTCATAAGGTTGCCTACCCCCGACCTAACATGATGTTCTCTTCCAGTATTGGTGACATGTGCATTGTCAGTATCCCAGAATGCAGTGAGTACTTTGTATTTAGCCTTTGCATTATGGGTACCCATTTACAACACCTCATTTACTACTAACGCTTGTTTGAATATACTGTCTACTATATATAGTGAATGTTATATTTATCTATTATGCTTAGCTATTACTTATTATAAATAGGATATATTTAAAAAAAAAAAAAAAAGGATTGCACAGCTGTGATGCTGTCTCAATAATGTGATTGCCAAGCCACTTCCTTTCACAAACCCTGACCTAAATAGTCAGCAAATACAAGTTTCGGATCGCTGTGGGATTTATAAGACTTCATTCTTTGTGGGAAAATTGAATTTACGTGAACAGAAAACTGGGGACAGGGTTTCCCACTGCTTTGAAAAGCAAGGCTTAATTTATCAAGTCGGTAAAGTTGTTTCCTTTGGACCAATTTATTAATAGTTCATATTTCAACAGACAAGCTCTGCCATACACACAACGTCTGAATACAGCACAATCATTCTGCCTGCTGGGCAGTGTATTAGCTTTCAATGCCAAGCGAGTGCCAAAATTCACTCACAAATCATTGAGGAAACAAGACATTTTTGTTCTACACCAACAAATTTAATATGATATGTGTGCATTGCCCAACACTTTGCTATTTTATACTGCCAGTTGAGATCTTCAAACTAGTCCATAAATGTCTTTTTTACATGGTAAATGTTTCTTATAATACTTTTTGGTGGCTGAGATATATGCAAACAAGAAAATACTTTTTTGTTGTTCTGTTCTGTTGCAGGAAAGGTGGCCCCATGATCGTGTCTGGTTGATCAGCGAACAGCAATTACCAGCTTCTCTACCAACATGTCTGTTAGTGTAGAGCAGTCAGCCACCCATGTGAGTATGACCTGACATGCAGACAGCCAGACAGTGATTAGCTAAGTGTGGATGTTTGGCAAGAGCAGAACAGATGGACAACTGTTCCAAACTAGGATGTGTGAATCAAGAAACTTGCATTAAAGTCATGAGATTTTGTGTCCTCCTATATTGTAGAAAATTAATTAAGCAACAGAACATTTCAAGTAACATGTATACAGTCCTCCCATTTTTGGGGTCCCATCCTGCTGCCCTGTTTTATTTCCCTGGTCTCAGGATTTTGGGGACATTAGGGAATTGTCCCATGGCAGCATAGGTCAAGCTCATCATAGTGCTGAGAGTGAGCACTAGGAACACGCAGGGATTGTTCCAGCAGCGCTCCCAGCATTGTGTATTGTCCTGAAGGCTGAGGGCCGGTCAAATAGCCAGTGGGTCGGGCTGCCTCTTTTCAGGGTGGCCCACCATTTTTGGTAGTGACTTGAGTGGCGTCACTGGTGACGCCCTTTCAGAGTCCCACAGGCCCCTTCTCAATTATCCCAGCAAAATTTTTGTGAATTGTGTGTATAGCTGAAGTTCCAAGCTCAGTTCTTATATAACAACAGATCCAGCAAAGGAAGGAGCACCACTTGCTCTAAAAAGCAAAAAAGAGGTGTCCCTGGGTTTAGATATTATTATAATAATTATTATTTATAAAGCCGCAACATATTCCCACAGCCCTGTAGACAATAGATAAAGTAACAAGTAGTTGCAACAAGACAAGCTGGATGTACCGGAGCAG